TTTGTTTCTTTTAGCCTCAGTGAAATAGTGTGATTTAAGTAGCCGGTTGCATCACTTAGGATTAGATTCAACCTCATATAACAGAAAGCCCAAAAAGCAGGCTGTAGTAGGACAGGGATTTCCACTGTGCTCACATGAAAGAAATCCAAGGGAGGAAATCCAGGGCAGAAAGCCTGGTTCTAGGGTCATAGGGTCTTCTTGTGTGTCTGCTCCAAGTTCCTTATCATATAATTTCCATTCTCAGAATTGCTTTATGGTCATAAGATAGCTGCAAGAGCCCCAGCCCTCACATCTCTGTTCCAGGCAGCAGGAAAGAAGAAGAGCCTCTCAGCTAACTCAGCCCCATGAAAAGAGCTCCTTCAGGAGCCAAAACCAAAGAGTTTGGCTTTGATCTCATTAGCCAGTCTTGTCTGCAAGAGAGACTGGAAAATATGTTTTATCCAAGCACACTGCTGTCCTCAATAATATGAAGTTCTGCTGGCAGGAAGGAAGGGATGAATTGGGTGATCAACCAGCTCTCTCTGCTTTACCTGCCATGCCCTCTCCTGGCCTTGTCACCACTCTTAATCACTGGGGTTACTGGTGGAAGACGGACCCTCAGGGCAAAGTTCCAGCAGCCATGAACTGTCTGAGTGTGTGGAAGGCCTAATCAAGGCCTGACCCACAAATATTTTGATGTATCCTCTTTGCTTTTATGTAGTTGCTTCTCTGCGTCTGCATGGTCTGAACCTGATTTACCTGACCAATACTGTGTGTGAAGATTTTCCCTCAAGTCTAGAAAGGACTGGAGGAGGAAGTAGCTGAAAACAGTGGTGCCGTGGCCCTTTCAGCTTTGACGTGGTTGGCGGGGGGGGGGGGGGGGGCCCGCTGGCTCATCTTCCTCAGGCCCGGATGCTCCTGTCTCTGGTATAATCACTAATGAAAACTCACAGGAAAACAGCTCGGGTGGTGTGTTCCCTGACAGAATGATGAAGAAGCATAGAGCGATCTTCACAGACCTTGACTTATAGTGATTGTGAAAGCCAAGTAGCTCCCTACTCAAGTAAAGTTGAGGCCACATTGAACACTTCACATGAAAGGGGGAAACTACCTTATCGACACCAGCGGGGAGATGCTGGCAGTAACGTTCATCTTCCCTCATTTCTTTTTTTGAGAGTTTACTAATTTATTTATTTATTTGTCAGAGAGAGAGCGCACAAGCAGGCAGAGTGGCAGGCAGAGGCAGAGAGAGAAGCAGGTTCTCTGCTGAGCAAGGAGCCCAATGTGGGACTTGATCCCAGGACCCTGAGATCATGATGTGAGCTGAAGGCACTGGCCTAAATATATTATAGGTGTCCCACCATCTTCCCTCATTTCGAGGGCACCTCTCAGCCCATTTTATAGCCAAGAAAACTGAGGTTAGGTCACCTGCCCTGGGGCACCCTGCTTCCCAACTTCTGAGAACCACTGTCCCCATGAGGAGCCTGGCTTTCCATGAAAGTGTTCTGAACACCCAGGGGTTCCAGAGCCTGGCCTTGACGTCTAGATGCTGAGTGAGGTGAGTGGCCTTCGGGAGGCAGTTCTGCAGCGAACCACCGGCTATGGGGATGCTGAGGACCTTCAGGAGATCTCTGGGCCCCCCTGCTGAGACTTGAAATAAAGTACAACAAAATGTGGGATCCATGACTATCTCCATCATTATTCATTACATTTGCTACAGACTCTCTGTATCTCCCGCAATGTTTTATAAGTTTAAAATGGAATTAGATGGAGCTTTCAATGCTGGGGGAGGAGTGGAGAGGTCATCTAACTTTGATTTTATCTGAGTTCTTTCTTCACGATTCCTTTTACTCAGTGTTCATCAAGCAACCAACCCCTCCACATGCAATGTCTCCGACTCCTAATGAGATATGCCAAGAAGCCAGACCATAGCAGTACCACAGAGCTGAACACGAAATAAAAAGAGTATTTCTACAATGACATTAGTAGAGCGACCGCGGATCAGAGACGTTTCCACAAGTCAGAGAAGCCGGGGAGCTCGTGAACTTCCCAGAAGAAAAGTCTGCAGAGAGAAAATCAGTCTCCGAGAGGAATGGCAAAACGGAGAACCAGCATCTATACGACACTTCACAGTTTAGAAAGCATGCCTTTGCACTGTTCTCTCGCTTGAGTTTCCGCAAACACCGAAGTGGGAAGGAGATCATTTTACAAAGAAAGTACGAGAAGCTCAGAAGGATGAAGTGTCCGACCCAAGAAAACACAGCTGGAATCTAGCCCCGGGATGTGGGCAGAAGGGGCTGGGCCTCTGGTGCCCTGGTGTTCTCTCTGGCATGTGGATACCCAGCAGCGGACTGTGGAAGGAAGGGGTCCTTCCTCCTCCCTTAGCAACAGCGCACACTTCCTCAGAGGTCAGGACCTCAGGGTCTGATCCCTAAGGAAGGCACAGCCTCCTGGGATGTGGCCACCATTTTGCACCAGGACCTTCACTCCGTTCTGTGCTGCTCCAGACACGTAGGGCCACGGGACACAGGTGCTCACCTTGGTGAGAGAAGAAGGGCAGACAGAAGAAGGCGAGAAAAATCCCTCCTCCACAGTCTGCCCCACCCACCCCCACACAGTCTGGCCCTGATTCCTGCACGGCTGCTGCCGTCTGGGGCAAGTGTCTGCATGCCTCTGTTTACTCACCTGTAAAATGGGGAGAAGAGCATCTTGCCTTCATCCCTCCCACTGGGTGGCCAGACGGGAGCAGCGGTAGCCTGCTGGTCTAGACAAGCCTGGCAGCAGGCTCATCCTCCTGACCTGTTCTCTGGGAGTTCCCTGCTCCGGCTGAGGGCCCCACTCCCATCCCAGGCTCCCAGGACCCTGTGGGTGGCTGTCAGGACGATTTGCAGGTGAGGTGGTCGGCATCGTGGCAACTGGTTCGCAAGCCCGGATACAGCAGGTCACAAGTGTGTCTTTGGGTGGCAGTTGAGGTGGCCTCTCTTCCAGATTTCATGACAAGCGAGGCAGCAGCAGTCTACCTTCGAGCAATCAGACTCCGCTCTGTTGGAGAACACAGTTCTAAGTCCCCGCCCTGTCTGCCTCTCCCCATCCATCCAGCGGTTATTAGCAGAATTTCCTCCACAAATCTTCAGACTTGTTTTTAAGCCCGACACAAACGACATAAGTTCAACCACTCGGAATCCTCCAGAAACTCTTGGAAGGAGAGTTCCGCTTAGAAAGCTTGTCCACTTGCAGTCTTTTCCAGCTTGGTGCCCCCACCAGGCTGGGGGCCTGGCGCTCAGGGCAGGGAGAATCTGCTGCGGGACTCCGCAGGCCTTTGTGGGCCCAGACACCCAGACGCTGGGGCTCAGCATCCAGCCAGGAGCCCTGACATGAGACATCCACCCACGTGTTTCCAACAGGGCTGAATGGGGGCCACGGGCCAGTCCGGCAGGGCAGGGAACCCAGGGGACTGGGTAGGAGCCACTGAAGAAAAGAGGCAGCATTGCCCCGGGGACTCATCAGTGTTAGTGAACACGGCAGGCATCCGGAGGCAGACTCACTGATGTGGGTCAGTGCTAAGCAAGGCAGGGGACCTCGTACCCCCTTTCCCTCCCTCACCTGTGTATTCTAACCCATAACAGCATAGGACCCTTTTATCCCCAGCAGTCGGGTGATCTCAGGAAGGGTTTGCAAACGTTTAAAAGCTTACTTACTCCACTATCTAGAAGGACACCCAGTAGCACTGCCGTGAGGAGGGAGAGAGGGGACAGAGGTGGTCACCATGACCGCAAAACCAACAGAAAGAACATCGCGACAGCGAGGAGTGCCTTCGTTTCCGGTCCCGCCAGTTGAGATGACTCACAGAAGGAAACGGGGCCGAGGAGCTGAGCCTAACTGGGGATTAAACCCATGCTTTTGTTGCTCAGTTCGTGCCCCACATCATTGTTCCAGAAACCTGAGGTATGACAAGCACGAGAAGCCACGGCCATATCTCAGATGGGACCCAGTGCAAGTCCCTAGGGTTGGTGTAGTGTTTGCCAAAGGGCAAAAGGAGAGGAGTGGGACAGGCCTCTGCTTCCCCGGGAAAAGATGAGCAGCCTACTGGACAAAAGCTTCAACTCTTAAAACACAAAGCCGCAAAGATCTCCTGTGCTTCCTCTCTTTATTTTGGGTTTTTTTTTTTTTTCATTCTGTTAAATTGACGTATAATTTATTCATTTGGAAGTCGAAATAATTGCGCCCAGGGCCCCTGCTGAAGGGCAGTCTGCGCCTGCTGAGGTCAGAGGCCCAGCGCGGCATAGGAAGGGCCAAACGCTGCCCCCCCCGCCCCCGCCCCGGGCCTTCTGGCCCTCGGCGTCTGAAGCCCCAGGGCCACGGGGAAAGTCGGGCCATCTGGGCTAGCCTGGCCCTGCAGGCGGTCCCAGCCGGGGCCGAGTGGGGCGCTAGGCGGGCGTCTGTCCTGAGAGCTGGGACCCGGCGGCCGGACTCTAGGCCCAGGCACGTGGGCTGCGAAGCGGGGCCGCCCGGGCGGGTTCGGCGACCCCTGATGCGGCTCGGGGTGGGGGGCCCCCCGGCGGGGTAGCGCGCATTCCGGGAGCGCGGGGCGCCGACCAAAGTCCGGCGAGTGCGCGGAGCCGCGTTGGGCAGGGGGCGGCAGGTGCGGCGGGGCGAGCTCGCCTGCCTTCGGGGAGAGAGCCGGGCGCTGTGGCCCCGGCGCCCCCGCTCCCTACCCTGGCCCGCTGCCCGAACCCTGGCACTTCCGGGGCCCGGCGGCGCTTCGGGGGAGCTCCTCCAAGGGCAGCCTCCGGGGGCGGGGGAGCGTGCGGCGCGGTGGCCGGGCGGGGGGTGGCCCGGCTCCCGCAGGGGCGGCGGGCGGGGTGGGGTGAAGCAGGCCGGCCCCCTCCCCTCCCGCCCGCCCTCCCTTCCTCCGGTCCTGCAGCCAATTAGACGGCCCCCTTGGGCGGGAGGCGTGGGTCGCTCCATAAAGCGGCGCGGAGCTGTCACCCCGCGAGCAGGCTGCGCACCATCCAGGCCGGAGCCAGTGCCGCAGACTCGGGCGCCTCGGGCCGGGGAGCGCAGAAGAGCCATGGCCACTACCAACGGGGCCGTGGAGAACGGGCAGCCGGACAGGAAGCCGCCTGCCCTGCCGCGCCCGGTCCGCAACCTGGAGGTCAAGTTCACCCAGGTGAGGCGGGCGCCCAGCCCACCCGACGGTCGCCTGGCTCCGCGCTGGGCTGTCCTGGCCAGGGTGGCGGGGACGAGAAGCCAGCAGGCGGGGAGCCCAGCCGCCCCGCTCCGAGGGTTCGGGGCGCTTCGGGCAGCGCGCCCGCAGCCGAGTTCGTCCCCCCGCTCCGTGACCGGAGCCTCTCAGCCCGAGGCCGGTCCTCTAGAAGCCGTGTCCGGCGGCGCAGGTCGTCCCGGGCGGGAGCGCGTCCGCCGCGCACCCCGAGGGGACTCGGCGATCTGCGCTCCCGGACGGGCTCTCGGGCGGCGGGGCTCAGCGCTTTAAGCTTCCAAGCCTGGCGAGGGCGGCTGCTCAGCGCCCGCGCGGCTCTGGGCTCCCGCCGGCGCGGCCCCGACGTGCCCTTGCCGGGTCCGCTTGCAAGGCGAGCCGAGGTGCGGGCCGCCGTGCCCCTGGCGCGCTGGCCTCCCCGCGGACCCTGCGGCACGGTTTCCGGGGCTCAACGGGTCGGGCCTCGCGAGTGTCAGAAGGTGCCTGAGAACACCGAGTTAGTCTGAGAGCTCGGGCTGCACTGGGGACCTGCGACTTGGAGATTCCAGAACCAGGTGATCGGGAGTACAGGAGGGACGTCGTACCTTCCGTGCTTGGCCTACCTACCTTACCAGTAGAGCCAGGGCGGGTAGGAAGGTGAACACAGATGAAACTGCCCTGGAGCCCCGCGGCCCTGGTGTTAACAGAGACTGCGTTCTCAATGGTCTCCGAACCGGGGCCTGGGAAGCCGTGGGTGGCCAGGCCGCAGTGCGCCGCGCACCATGGAGTCTCTGCTATTTTGCGCTGGGCTGGGAGGCTGGAGCGTCTGGAAAGCGGTGAGATCACCTGCCTAGGGCAGAAAGGAAGATGGCGAGGCCTGGAGCCCAGGCTGAAGAGGGCTGCCGGGGGCGCGTCCCGTGGGAGAACCCTCGGAGGCTCTCCGGAGGCTGCGGACTAGGGCCGGGAGTGCGGCCGGGTCGCCGGCCAGCCGAGAGTCTCGGCTGGCTTCTCTTTCCCCAACTTTCCCTCCTTTTAATTTTTTTTTTTAATTTGCATCTTATCCATAACCCTCCCCACCCCCAACTCCAGCTGACACAGCACTGAGAAAATTTCCCCATCAATTTTACTTTCAAAAAGTAGCAATTATGTCTCTCAAATAGTTTTAATCAGGCGGAGAAAGTTGCCGACCACTATGTGTGGCCTTCAGATTTTGGTCTGTTGGCACTTCATGTCGGCTCTGCCTCTGATCACATGACATTTAAATTAACTGTTTTCAGAGGGCTCCGTAATCAACAGAGACACTTCACCATAAACGCTGGAGATTATTTTTAATGTAGTTTCCGTAGTGGTATCAGCTTCAGAATGAAAATTCCAATCACCAATTCTGGGAACAGGCAGCAGAGTACCTACTTCTTTTCAGGCCGTTATACTGTTGGTGCTGGCCTGTTGTTGGTGGTGGTGGTGGTGCGGTTTTGTTTTATTTTTGTTTTGTAAGGTTTTTGTGGGTTTTTTTTTTTTAATGCTACAGAAGCCAGAAATTACTGTGTTACTGTCCTTTGCCTTTCTACCTTTCTGAGTCCTATCCGAGCAGTGCAGCCACTTATGGGAAGTTTCCTTCTTTCTCTGCAATTCTTTGTGGCCCTTCACAAGTGGATAGAGGGAGGATCTTAACAGATTCACAGAGCCACCAGTGTCTGTGGTCTTGCTGGGTGCCCCCTCTTCTAGTGGAACAGAAGTGGCTGTGTGATTAAGGCTGGGGAGAGGCGATGAGACCTCCAGCCGCTCTGTCCTTTGCTCCCGGCCCTCAAGCCCACCACCGCAGAGGCCTACCTCAGGAGCTGTGGGCCGCAGGCAGCTTGTGTGGTGATGGCTGAGGGACAGGAACCCCAGCCAGCAATGCTTAGGGAGCCTCTGGCCGGAGAGGCAGCAGACAGGGCCTAGGAAAGAGGCAGGAGAGCCAGAACTGCAGAACGGAGACCTGGGGGCAGACAGTGGAGCCGGCAGTGGGGAGAGGTGCAGTGTGTGAGCCCCGTAAAGTCCTGTTAGTTTTCAAACCTGACTCATGGAGCTTCTTGCTAATGGAGAACACGCCAGAAATGGTGGGTCTGAGCCCCAGCCTTGGGGATACCATTTCCCAGCAAAGTCCATTTTTCAGAAGGATGACCTTGTCCCGACTTCTTCATTTCTTCTCATGTTATTTGTTTATGAGAGAGCAAGAGAAAGAGCAAGTGAGCATGGGCGGGGGTGGTGAGGGGCAGAGGGAGAGGGAGAAGCAGGCTCCCCACTAAGCAGGGAGCCCAAAGCGAGGCTGGACCCCAGGACCCTGAAATCATGACATGAGCCGAAGGCAGCCGCTTAACTGACTGAGCCCCGCAGGCACCCCTGTTCTCTCATTTTAACATTGGGCTTTGCTATGTGACTCCAATAGCAGGGGGGCAAGGATCCCCTTTTGTATCCTCCCCTGCCAGATCTCAGAGGATAGCAGCCTCTTTCACTTTGGGGGGTGGGGGGGGGTCCTTTCCTTTCCTTAGAGAATGCCTTCCAGTCACAGAGATTCTCTGTAAGACTTTCTGGTTCACTCAAACACCCGTTTTTCTGATCTCTTTTATAAAAGCTACAAATCGCTCCAATATCCTGTTCTGAAAACATACTCCTTCAGGTTTAGCTGGAGTCCGGTGGAAGTTACTGTAAATGGCATCAGCAGACCTCACTTGTGTGGCCGCCATCTTTACCCCAACCCCCAGGCACCCGGCTCCTCTGAGAGGCTGTGGTTTTCCGGCTCAGCCTGGGTGACATGCCATTCCACTCATTCAGTAAAATGTAAATCCCGGAACCTAATTTTTATACCTCTGTAAGGTTTATCTGAAACCAATTCACAAGTCAAGAAGTACAGTTTTGTTTTGTTTTGTTTTGTTTCTGGACCCATTATCCTGAATCGGGGCTCAGAACAGTCCAGGCAGCATAATTGGTAGGCCACACTTACTGACCCCTTCTTTGTGTTTTTGTTTTGTTTTAGTGGAGAGAAAATCAACAGTAGAAACCACTTACAAGATTACTTACCAGCGTAGTATACAGAGAAAAATTTTTGCAAAATTGGCAGCCTTGCAATGGGAAAATATGGTCAGAGTTGAGAATCTGGTTTTTTGTTTTTTTTTTTTTTAAGTCGCTGGTTAGGAGGGACTATGGATCAATGTCATGACCGACCAAATAATTTTTTTTTTGGAGGAACATGCTTGGAGATGAAGTATAACAGACATCTGATCGTTGCAATCTGTTTCCATCCTCCTTATTTATATTCTCTTCTACCGTCTTCTCACTTTCCCTCCCCCTTGGAATTGATACCAGGAAGGATCTAGAATCAGCAGTTTTCACTGATGGTCTGTATTTTCTAACCCACGAAATTTCATCTTCCGACAAATGGGCCTCTCTCTCTGGCTGCACTTCCCTCCGCACCCTAACTGAACCTCTCCTCTCCACTTATTAATTTCTCGCTGTTACCGAGCGAGTGCTTGCTGGATGGCAAGAGTGAACTCTTGGATTTGGTTTCAGCTGGAAGAATAAACCTGTAATTGTAGCCTGGCCGATTCCACATGCTTCCCTGGGGGCCTGGCCTCATGGTGAAGGCACTGAGCTTCCAGAAGTCGGATGGGCACATCCTACGGGCAAGGGATGCTCTCAGCTCTGGATTCACGGGAGACAGGGTGCCTCTGCCCACCTGCCCCGTAAGAACTGGCCTTCCATGCTTTGTCCCTGCCCGGCTGAGCCATCCCTGCTTTCCAGGGAGAGTGATCAAAACGGTCTCCCCCAGCAGCTTCCCAGAGCGAGTTTCTTTCCTGGGAAGCTTTGGAGTTTTTACAGGAGAGCCCAGGGCGGAGACCGTAACCAAGCCACACTCTCTCATCTGTCATCACTGGGAAGTCAAGTGTTCCAAATGAATAAAATTCACAGTAATTGAAATTAGCCCTTAGAGGGACACGATTCTTACAAAGGACTCAAAAAGAAGCAAATGATATGCATATAGGTACAGAAATGGAATTCGATGAGCTAGGTTTGTGCTTAGAAATTGTTCATGGCATTTTGTTTGAGGGAAATGCTTCTAAAGGATCTTACTCATGTCTGTGACTGGGGTCTCTGTGATGCTATGATGGGGTGTGATGACCAGCCTGTCCCACACCCATACAGCGGCAGATCGGCTGTCTTCTGGGTAGGCAGGACCTCCATGTTGTCAGAACGTGCTTTGTGTATCATCTGTCACCTCTGTTCCTGGTTTTTTTCTGAAGGTCCTCTCTTTGAATGAAGCACTTTTTTTTTTTTTAAAGATTTAATTTATTTATTTGACAGACAGAGATCATGAGTAGGCAGAGAGGCAGGCAGAGAGGCAGGCAGAGAGGGAGGAGAAGCAGGCTCCTTGCTGAGCAGAGAGCCCCATGTGGGGCTAGATCCCAGGACCCTGAGATCATGACCTGAGCCAAAGGCAGAGATTTTTTTTTTTAAGATTTTATTTATTTATTTGACAGACGGAGATCACAAGTAGGCAGAGAGGCAGGCAGAGAGAGAGGAGGAAGCAGGCTCCCTGCTGAGCAGAGAGCCCAACGCAGGGCTCGATCCCAGCACCCTGGGATCATGACCTGAGCCGAAAGCAGAGGCTTTAACCCACTGAGCCACCCAGGCGCCCCCAAAGGCAGAGATTTTAACCCACTGAGCCACCCAGGTGCCCCTAATGAGGCACTTTTTTAGGGCAATTAGCAGTAAGAGTAAACTACGAATAAATAGTACACACTTTTCAGCGTGGGAACTCTGTGAATTCCTTTTAGTTTGCTCATGATATCTTTTTATTTTATTTTATTTTTTAAAAAGATTTTATTTATTTATTTGACACAGAGAGAGAGCACAAGCAGGGGGTAGTGGCAGGGAGAGGGAGAAGCAGGCTCCTGCAGAGCAGGAAGCACTATGTGCAGCTAGATCCCAGGACTCTGGGATCATGATATAAGCGGGAGGCAGATGCTTAATCAACTGAGCCACTCAGGCGCCCCTGTTTTTATTTTTAACGTCCTTCTCAGCTGTGTTCTAGATAATGGAGGCTCCTGATGAAGTGATTTTTGTGGATTAATTCTTTGGTTCTAGATATAAATGGTTATTTGCTACATCTGTTCATACAACCAGAACATTTCCCAGACCAGATAGCTTATCTTTCTTTTCCAACACAAGCTTTTATTAAGCCCAACATGAAAATAAGCATTTTAAAGGGAATGGGGGAGGAGCTAGTTCCTTGGCAATCCAGCTGGGGGTTTCAACAGGGAGGAAAACAGAAGGGAGTGCTCACTACTGACCTATCCTTCAAGGTCAGGAGATCCCTGGGCACTTTGTATATATAAACCTATTTGATCTTCCCCCCAAACTCGATGAGGGTGTAGGATTTAACTTATACTCTTTAACTATTTGACTCGGCTCTTCATGAATCCACGTTAATGATTTAAATGGCTACCTTTGGCTCAGGTAATGATCCCCAGGGTCCTGGGATCAAGCCCCGAAGTGGGCTCTCTGCTCATCGGGGAGCCTGCTTTTCCCTCTCCCTCTGCCGCTCCCCACTGCTTGTGCTGGCTCTCTCTCTGCATCAAATGAATAAGTAAAATCTTTGAAACAAATAAAAAAGAGAGACAAGATATTTAGAAAAATTCTAAATGACTTTAGTTTCATTAGGACAAAAAGTAATTCTCTGAAAACATATTAGAAGTCAGGAGACTTGGATTCTAATTCGGAGTGTGTTCTTGGTTGGGCACATGACTCCATCTCCTCTCCTGGTCCCATCTGTAAAAGAGTGGGGAGGGGGGAGGAAGAGGGTGGGGGAGGACAAGACATTACCTAAGGTCCTCAGCATGTTGGAATGATATGATTTTGATTTAAGCCCTAATGCATTACAACTTCCTTTCCTGGTTAGATATTCATCAACAATGAATGGCACGAATCCAAGAGTGGAAAAAAGTTTGCCACGTATAATCCTTCAACTCTAGAAAAAATATGTGAAGTAGAAGAAGGAGATAAGGTGAGTGCCTCCCCTACCCCCCCCCACCCCCCCAAGTAATTAAATTACAGATAACTAGAGGATAAGGAGGCAGTATGGCTCAGCTCTAAGACAGACCTGGCCCATACTGGGGGTGGGACCTGAGTTTGCTGCTTTTCACACACGTGGCCCAGAATGGGATCAATTAGGGACGAGCCACTGCAGAGTCGTTCTCCTTTGATAGAGTTTCCCCATCTATAAGGATGACCTCAGCGATCCTCATCACGTGGCTAAACGAAAGGTTTTTATCAGTGATTTGAACCTGGAGGCACGAAGCCCTCTTTCCAGAAAGCATTTCCGGCTGGTATGTTTCACCAAATGCCGCATTCTGGCAGGAGACACTTGAAAGAGAAGGGCTGGAAGGGGAAAAGACTTGCTAACCAAATCATGCAAAGTTAACAATGTCATGCCGTCACCAGATTTCTTTTCTATCAGAACCTGAAGGGATCATGGATAGCTATAGTCTTTATAACTATATATGTAGTTGTGTATATATATAACTTCTGGATGTATCCTTGATACATTGCAAAGCCACAAAGTATCTTAAATATACATGCCTTTAGAGGAAAGGTTGAAGGTAAAACTTTTCTAAGGAGGGAAAGGAAATCTAACCCTCTCTTCCACCCCCAGATAATCATCTGACATTCTGAAATGTGTAGGGGTAATGTTGAATGGGGACAAGGTGAAAGACATGTCAAAAAGAGGCTTGAATTGGATCCCACTGGTGAGAGTTCCATGACCGGCAGGAAACACGCAGTGGTTTCACCCATCCAGACCCTCCCATGCACAGTGCTTCAAGCTAAACTCTGTTTGCAAAGATAAGAGCATCAAGGAGCTCATCTTTGTATGGTGTGAGGACGTGGGGCAACTGGGCCGGGGGCAAGATGTGGAGCAGGGTTTCCCGTGGGTGGTTCCCAGGTGCAGGACCCAGGAATCAAAGAGGAGAATGAGATCCCTGCCCCAGGCTCTGGTTTTTCCCTTGGTCTGGGGGACTGCTCTCAGCACCCACAAACAGACAAGGTCCTGTCCCCTGCAGCTAGAGAGGCCCAGGCTTCCCCACCGCCCCAGAGCGTGGGACGAGGAATTCATAGTTGTAATATCTCCTTTGCCAAAGCTTTCACTTGCCTCCAAGCATGCTTTGGAGGCACAGAGTCTTGGTGGGGTGTCTCTCTTGACTCCACTGGGTAGCCCTTGCCTATCGCACTGCCCCAGGGAAGTGAGGCTCAGAGGGGCCTGGGGGAGGGGCCTGGGAGATGAGGCTTTGTTCCTCAGCAACCAGAGCCTCAAACTCATTTTCCTGCAGTAAGAATGGGTGACATTAAACAACTCTCACTTCTTGCCTTTTAAGAAGGTCCCATTGTAATTCTTCTATGGGTGCACAGAAAATCCAGTTCCTTGCTCGTGGAATGGTGCAACCCTTCTGCCTCCAGGCAGGGTTGGGGGGGCAGTAGAGATGAGGCTGAAGACAGAGAAGAAATTCCAGATCCTCCCTGTCTGTAGACTTTTCCAATGTGGTCAGTTCCGAGATCCCCACAAGCGCTCACGCCCCATTCTCACTATGGGACCACAGTCCTCGGCTTGAATAGAATGCCGAGACAGACATGTCCCACCTAACTGATGAACTGTGGGAGTGTGCGTGTGTCCAAACTGGGCGAGCAAGTGGAAAATCTTTTCCTACTTGGGTCACCAAGAAAAATAATTAAGGTCTCTAGTCTTGCAAGCTATTTTAAAATGCTTTTATAAAAAAAAATAAATAAAATAAAAAAATAAAATAAAATGCTTTTATAATCAGAAGAAAAGTTCATACTTGACCATTGTAGAAATGTTGAAAAAGACCCAAGCTATAAAGAAGGAAAAAGTCACTTGAAAGCCCCAAACGGGGGACCCAGCAATCTGGAGCCTAGCTGCTACCTTCCTCTGCTGTGCTGATGGACGCAGGTCTCTGCCGTTCTCTGTAAGTGAAGAAAGACTGAACTCTCCCAAAACACGGTCGCGACACAAGGTGACACACTCTCTCTGGTTTTTGGCCGCTCAGGCCGACGTGGACAAGGCAGTGGAGGCCGCACACGCCGCCTTCCAGAGGGGCTCACCCTGGCGCCGCCTGGATGCCCTGGGCCGGGGCTTGCTGCTGCATCAGTTGGCGGACCTCGTGGAGAGGGACCGCGCCGTTCTGGCTGTGAGTACACGCCCGTGGGCGGACAGGTGCGGAACCGCCCGGTGCCCACGGGACTTGGGGGGAGACCCAGGGCTCTGGTTTTGTGTGGAGCTGTATGGCAGGTGCTTTGAAGTAAAGCTCTCTGGCAGTAAGCATGTGTCCACGCCATCCGGCTCAAACTCTTTCCCTTTAGAAGTCAGACTTTTGTCCTCCGCACTTCATGTTCTTGACCAAGAACTTGCCTAGAGGAAGTTCAGATGCATTGGTGGTTCCCATACTCCAGACGGTCCCAGCCAGGCAGATGAGTTAGGTCATATCCTGGTCCTGCCTGTATGTTTAGGAAATTAACTTTTTTTTTTTTTTTTGATACATGAAATCTCTTTTACTATTAAGTTGAACTTCATCTTAGGTGACAAAATCCATATATATTTTTTTGAATATATATTTTGGTATATATTTTTTTGAATACTTATTAAAATAGATGCCGCCTTTTAGCATTGAAAACATTGATCCCATAGAACTCAGAAATCACCCCTGTTTCACCCCTGAACTGGGCAGTGGTGAGCACATGTGGAGTGATGGTGAGGGCAGGGTAACCTGGTTATGGGGAAAAGCTCAGGCTCTGAGAGACCTCAGTTCGAATCCCAGCTCTGTCACTTACTAGCTGTGTGACTTTGGACAAGTTGCTTTACATCTCTGAGCATGTATTTCTTTATGAGATACCAATAATAATGGATCTTTCAGTGGTGTGAGAATGATCCATTTAAATCCTTAGCAGAGTCCCTGGCATGCAGTAAGCACTAACTAGATGATAGCTATTATTAGGAACACCGGTCCTCATAATAATGCTGCCCACCCAGCCTCATGCCTTCCTGGCCAGTAATTTCTAGGCACCTTAGTCCCCGTGCAGCAGAATAGGCATGGGAATTCAGCCCGCTCCGTGAGGTTGGGTCGCTCCTACCAGACCGGGCTGTGAAGACATTTATAGGTTGTAAATGCATTATTTACAGGGATCCTAAGACCTTCCTCTGGTCTTGCAATGAGTGAGCAGAGGAAATCCCAGGCCCGCCTCCTGCCTTGAGGTCCTTCTCAACCCGCACACGCGGCCCTCCCACGTCTCTCGGGCTCCTGTTTGGAAAAATTGCTCCAAACCTTGTGGCCCAGGGGGTAGGAGGACTAAATCTCCTTTTCAGCCTCCGATTTGAACAAATGGTTCTTTCCTCTCTTGATCTGATGTCTGGAACGAGCCGTAGAGTAGCGACATTCCTGGAGACCGTGCCATCCAGGAGGCTGATACTGTTTTTGTGCCTGAATGTGTGTTTGGGGGCTGGACAGTGGGGGAGCTCTGTATCTGGGAGTTCGTCTGCCCAGGGAGCTCAGCTCTCCTTCCTTCCCGCCCCGCCAGCCAGGCCAGCATGTTTGCCCCCAAGTCCGGGCACAGATGGCTCCATCCCAGGGTCAGCGTTTCTGTCCACGGAGCCTCTGGTTTCTTCCTGCAACGAAAGCCAGCCTCAACTCTCAAGCTGCCAGACTGGCTTTTTCAAAAACATTTCTGTTTTCACCCAGCATGAGCTCATCAGTCTGCAATGTCCGTGGGGACTAATAGGCGGGAGAGGATGTGCCCTGGGCACCCCTCCCCACCCTGTCCTCAAGTGTCAGTATCATCTATGGGAGCTAGTGGCGAGGCTGCCACCTCTGCCTTCAGCCCGCCCCACGGTCCTGGCCAGGACTGGGTCGCGATCACAGATGGAGAGAGTTGCCTCTTGCCATCGGGACCTCACTGCCCACAAGAAATAAGATCCAGCTCTTTGCCACATCATGAAAGGAACAAGAGAATTACTGGCAAATATGGTTTTTCAAACCGGGACCACATCATAGGAGAGCACCCTCGCCCTCCACCTTGATATGGTTTTCCTGCATTTTCATGCTGCGAAGTGCTTCTTTCCATCATGTTCTCTTGCCGGCTCAGTGGTTTTGACAAAGCTCCGTATTTACTTCTGTATTCGATGTTTAGAAACAGATGTGAGGGGATCCAGCAGCCCTAGCTTTCTCCCCCTTCTTGAGGCACCTGGGGTCCAGACTCTGGCTCTGTGGGTGCTCTTTCTGGAAACCCCCAAATAGGGGCCCTTCCTGTTTACTCTCTTTTTGACCCAAACCCCATCTCTGGGCTTCCTCGTTTTAAGATATTGGCACAGTCACTGAGTCCCGGGGCAGGTTCCCTCAGCCCTTGTCTTCACTCTTTCCTATCTGAAGCTTACAGTTTGTTAATTTTTCAGGAGGCATATTTTTTCCTCTTCAAATGTCAAGGGAAGTAAACTGGGGAGCAGCTGTGGTTTGCTCACGGTCCAGCCCCAATAACTGTTAAAAAAAGAATTAAAAAGTCCACATCGGTAGCTAACGATTGATTTCTCGGGTTGAGCCCTATCTGGTCATCTGCGAATCTTTTTTTGTGTTTAAAAAGAATTTCTTGTCTAAATCTATTATGACCCTGATTCGCTTGGATAGCTTCCCATAGAACCAATCTGGCAAATTCGTCTTGTCACTCCGGGAAGCAAATGCACCCAAGTTAATAACGAAAGCTAGCCAACGCTTGCCAAATACTCACCATGGGCCGGGCTTATCATAGCCACTTGGCCTGCACGTTTATTATCCCATTTCAGAGAGGAGGACACTGAGGCCCATAGAGGTTAAGGGACCTAAGGTTATCCAGCCAGAGGAAGTCATCCAGGACTAGAGGCAGGACTGCCGCACAATGCTACGCTAAGGTTCTCTGCCTTTCTCTTCCTCATCTGATCCCAGAAAAGGGCCAAGAATAAACCTCCAGTCCCACAGACAGATCTGCAGATGCTGTCCGGAGTGCCTGGGCCAGGACCTTTCGGCACGATTTGCCACAATTGCGTTTCCCGTGGAAAAATAAGTTTCAGCTTGGAAACAGTAGGAGCCAAAGTACAGTGTTCTAGATGTTACCTTGGCCTGACTTGGTCCCTGAACAGCATCCTGCAGGGGTTAGGATCCATCCCAGACCTAGACCAGCCCTGTCATCTTCAGCAACGCACACTCCTGTCTCCTTGGTGTCCCCAAGTAAGGATCGCCGAAAAGGAAGCTGCCAAAAAGGATAATGAACATAGTCATCCCGCCTAAAAATGTCATCATTAAACAGTTAGCATGGTACTTCCTGGGGGCAGGCCCCGTCCTAGCCCTCACCCCAGCCCCATGAGGCAAGTACCACTCTTAGTATTATTATTCTCCTTTACAGATGAAGAAACCGAGTCAGGGAGGGATTTTTTTGGTGGCCTACCGTTCAGGGAAGTGGTCGTTCCTTCCTAGGAAGGCTCTGCTCCTCCCCGAAGCAAAGTTCTGAGACAGTCACTATGAGCACCCTGGGTAGCCATTCTGCAGTCTTCCCAGATGCAAATGTCCTGGGGCAGCAGCCTAAGGAGTAGTCAGTGTGCTGGCCAGAAGTTAGATGCCACTGAATTCAGTGCCCCTGCTGGGTGACCTTAGGTGACACCTGGCTCTGTTAGCCCTGGTGTGGGCACCTAGAGGTGTCAGGGTCAGAGATGAGGCCGATGCAGGTGCACATGGAGGCGCCTCTCTTCCCCAGTGAGTCACCGTCTCACTACATGGACTCTAAAAGGAGAATCCAGCCCCAGGCTACGTGTCCGGGTGGCCACTTCCTGCAGAGATCCATGACAGGCGGTTTCGGCGCCGGGCTCCACTGGGGCCGCTTGTCTGAGGGACAAAGGGGTCCTCTTAAACCCCAGGCTGGAAATAGAAAAGAATCCCGGCCATTGAGTGGCTGCCCACTCGCCCTGGGTAATCACCTCCCTCACCACCGAGGGCGAGCCCGCTCCCTCCCGACTGCGCATCCGGCTTGGGCAGCCCGGTTGGGGAGGACACTGCCTTTTGTGCTGGTGCCTCTACCCTTCGGGGCTCCGTCGCTCTTTCCACAGGCATGCTGGTCAGCCCAGCCAGGAAGGAAGAACCCGCAGCATCCCCCCTTTTATTAGAGGATGCAAGCCCTCTCTAGAGCCCCCCTGAAAATCAGCTAACCTCCCGAGAGCTTCCCTGGGATGCCACAAGCCCATATGGCCAGGTCCCCCAGCTGGGCTCCAGACAGAAGACCAAATGCCACCGTGCCTTCCTTCCCAGGAGGCTCCAGATCACCCTTCCACCTGCCTTCCTTCGCGGGGATGCCTGCCCATGCCCTGGCCAACCCCTCCCCTCCAAACTGAGCACTTCTTTTCCCCCAAGATTTTATTTATTTATTTGACAGAAAGAGAGAGAGAGAGAGAGAGCGGGAACACAAGCAGGGGGAGTAGGAGTGGGAGAAGCAGGCTTCCTGCCGAGCAGGGAGCCCGATTCGGGACTCGATCCCAGGACCCCGGGATCATGACCTGAGCCGAAGGCAGACGTTTAACGACTGAGCCACCCAGGTGCCCCCCAAACTGAGCACTTTTGAAAGCAGAGTAATCCTTGACAGTCTGAGACAGGCCTGACAGGGGGAAACACAGTGGCCTGATTTTGGAAGGGACACAGGGAACAAGGCAGACGCGGTGTCCTCGGACTGTGTTCTCTTGCTCCACCCCCGGCTTTAACCCCTGATGGCAAAGAAGGAAACTGCGTGTGACACAGATACTGTCTTTTCCCTGCAGACCCTGGAAACGATGGACACGGGGAAGCCGTTCCTTCACGCCTTTTTCATCGACCTGGAGGGCTGTATTAAAACCCTCAGATACTTTGCAGGGTGGGCTGACAAAATACAGGGCAGGACCATCCCCACAGGTGAGCCAACGTGGGACTCGCAGCCTCATTGGGGGGCCCCCCGGGGGCTCTGTCTTCTCATTGTTTCTGGTAGCCTTTCCAGAGCACCCTTGTTCCCCACCACCACCACACCCCTCCCCTCAGGGCCCCCTTCCCTGTTGCAAAAGGAAGTGGGCTTGTGCTGATTTCTCCTTTGGAATTTTACTTTTAACATTGAGTTAAATGTCCCTTCTTTGTGGACTAGACAAGACTTGGAGCTGACACGTTGGTGGGCTTCTGGGTTTCTTTCTTATCTTTTTGCAACATAAAATGCTCAGCCGAGATTAATCCCATATGTTCTACTCCACGAAACCTCTCTTGCAGATGACAACGTGGTATGCTTCACCAGGCATGAGCCCATAGGTGTGTGTGGGGCCATCACTCCTGTAAGTATGGCATCTTCTCTAGAGAGATCCATGTAGATTCCACCCCACTCCCCGGTGGCCTCTAGAACCAGTTTCTGGTGTGTTTCGGTCACACTGGCATTAACTGAGTATTTTCTCTGTGGCATGGGGCTGGGTGCTTCAGAGTTATTGGGGTGGGTTAGCTCCCGTGCCTGCTCTCACGGGGCTGACTCCTGGAGCACAGCAGAAGGCACTGTGGATTCCAGCCGGAGGGCTCAAGAATGCCAGTTTCTCTAAGGCAGGGGTTTTTTAAGAGGGCCTTGAAGGATGAGAAAGAGTCATTCCATAGGAAAATGGGTCTTCTAAGCAGTAGGAATGGCCCCAGTGAGGGTGTCAAGGTGTCTGGGCTCCTGGGGGGTGGCTGTGGGGGAGAGGGAAGCAATAGCAGGACAGCTGGTGAGGCCACACTTAGATAAGGACAAAGTGAGGAAGAGGAGGAGCACATGTCCAGTGGTCCAGGCCGGGCACCCCGTAGGGCGTGGCTGCTGAGGGCCTGGGACTCTATTCACTGGGCAGTGGGGAGCCTGACAGGTAGCAGGGAATGGAGTGATGCTGCCCATCTGTTGGAGAAAGCCTCGGGCCACTGCAGCACCTGGGCAGGAGGCTGTGCAGAGAGGCAGCAGCGTGGAGAGAGGACTGGGAGTGTGCTCCGTGTGTCCCTTCCGCCAGCCGTTGGGAGCCCACTGTGAGCCAGGCACAGTGTCAGGGTCCTAGGTACTGAGGACATGAAGCCAGTGGGCTCAGCCCTCTGAGGGGCCCTGAGGAACTCGCAGGTCAATTAAAAGGCTGAGAAGGGAAGCCCCAAGAAAAATGGTAAGACAGGACCTGTTGGAAGACCAAGGGGAAGCATGGATTTGAAAGCTCCTAAGGAGGTCGAGTTGGTGGAGTTTAGTGTCTCATCAGAGGTCAGGGGTGAGTCATGGCTGGAACTGGGTGGATGGTGTTGCTGGTGGATTTGCAGAAGACTGGGGGAGAAGCGGGTTAGGGTGGAGTGCCATGACAGATGAAGGTCATTCTAGACAGATTGTCATAGAGGGGCTAGTGGAAGAGACAAGCAAAGGGTCCCATCGGACATTTGCATATTTGGCTTGGGGGCTCGAGAGAGGCAAGGCCTGGAGACACCCACAGGCAGTGTCAGGACAGAGGTGTTTCCTGCCCATCAGGTTGGGAGGGGGGGATCATCCAGAGAGGGATGCAGAGTGAGAGAAGAGGGCCCGGGGCCAAATCCCATATGTTGTTAGGGGATCTGACTGAGAAGTCTGAGCAGCTAGGGTCAGGGGCATCCTGGGAATGGAATACATTTCCAGAGGAAGACTATGGTCAATAGGGTCCTCTCCTTCGTAGCAATTAAAAAAGACACAACAGTTAGATTTGCTCACTGACAGCAGTATGGGGAATTTGGGGTGCAGTGGAAGCCCCATTGCTGGGGCTTACAGAAGGGGACCTAAGCCTTCTTAGGACCTTAGGGGACCTAAGCATGTGGGCACAGCTCTTCCAAGAAGCTTCGAGGGGAGAGAAGGGAGCTGCTGGAAGTGGCAGAAGCCAAGGGAAGGTACAGATTTGCTTGTCAGAGAGGAGAGATTGATGGTATTTGTGTGCTAAGGAGTGGGGGTCCAGGAAGAAGAGGGGACCCCAATCATTAGTTGGGGGGGTACCCCCAAACAATGCCTGCCATCATTTAGCCGAGCACATTGGCCCTTGGGAATTGAGATCGTGGATTTGTTGTCTCGTGGTAGGAATTCCAGAGGGAACTGGGAGAGAAATTAGAGTGGCCTGATCACGAGGTGGCTACCTTTTGCCAGCCCCGTGCGTATAGCTTCACAGAAAGCTCCTCTGTTTGGCATCCTTGAAACATAAGGAGCCAAAGGGACTGCTTTGGGATGGGATGGTTGGGGGACAGCTAGAATCAAGCTACCTGCTCTCTTGGAGATGCTCAGTTTCATTGTGCCTCATCAAAGATGATACTCAGAGGGGCAGGGTAGCGGGGGACACAAGGCTCGCTATGAATCCCGGCCTTCACCTGCTAGTTTGTGACCTTGGGCAAGTGACCTCTCCCTTCTGTGTTTCATCTGTAAATGGAGGGGATAATAGGACTAGCTCATATGCATTGATAGGGATCAAATGAGTTAAGTGTTCAGTGACTGGAACAGCACCTGGAACAGAGTAAATGCTCTGTGGCTGTTACCTCTTGTGTTAGGCTTCTTATCACAGTGATTTTGGTATCCTTGCCTCTGTAGTTGAAAGACGACAAGAGACACATTTCCCAACATGATCTCCACCAAACAGCAATCCAGTGGGGGTTCAGTATGTATTCTATAAGAAGAGAAAAAGATCCTGTAATACCTGAGTTTAGCAGAGGTGGGCCTCATTCTTGCAGTATTTTTCAGATCCTTTAACACGCTGATAGCATCATAAACCTCTAAGAGGAGAAGGTAGTGCGCCTACAGCAGAATCCTCTTTGCAAAGACTACTTATGGCAGGAATGCAGGTCTGATCTTTGCACACTCCTATATTACCTCCAACACCCCAAATCTAGACCATCCAAAGCAAATTCCTCCCTGGAGACCTTAATGGGCCTCCAGGACAGGGCAGCGGGGTGGATCGGGCTCCCCCCACCCCCACCAAGCTCCTCTATGTTCTTTCCCCAGTGGAACTTCCCTCTGCTGATGCTGGTGTGGAAATTGGCACCCGCCATCTGCTGTGGGAACACCATCGTTGTGAAGCCGGCGGAGCAGACACCCCTCACTGCCCTTTATCTGGGCTCTCTGATCAAAGAGGTAAGGCATCCGAAAAAGAAAGAAAATATTATGTGTTGTTGATAACATCCCCACCCCACCACTGTCACCAGATAAAGCTGCCCCATCAAGCCGAGGGGTGCGTGGCAGTGCCAGCCGGCTCACAGCTGAGTGGGAAATGGAATGGCTCCCCGTGTTGCCCTTGGCAGGTACGCGCGCCCTCTCTCCTGCTTGTGGTCACTGAGCTAGAAGAAACTCCATTGCTCCCACAGATCCTAATGAGAAGACTTAGCTCTTATTATGGGTTCAGACCTATGGTTTAGGAGCAAATGTTTTGTCTGGAGGGTTTGCAGGAGGGTCCCTCCAAGTGTCAGAGGTTCTTCGGGGCTGGCCTCTGTGGTGTAGGCAATGGCCCGTGCTGTTCTCCTGGAGGGGTCCTCTTGCCAGCTCCCGCTGAAGGGGCTGCGGCAAGCCAGGCTCGTTCACCCGAGCCTCCCTTCCAGTGCTCTGCGCTCGGGCCATTGTCTTATCCCCTCTACTCCCCGCCCCCTGCAGCCGCCATGCTGGGAAACCAGCAGCCGGAAGAAACACCTCCTTCCAGACACACCTGGCATCATGCTTCAACCCTGACGAGCCCAGCTTGTGTGTCGCCGAGAGGTTAAAAAAGAAACAGGAAGGAATGAGGGATGGGAGGAGAGACCCATTCCTTTCACTTCTCAGCTGGCTCGTACGGTTGGGAAGCAGGATCTCTACTACTTAGAAATAATGCTACAGCCGCCAGGAACTGGCCCGTTTCCCACTTTCCTTCGACTGGGGATGTAGGACATGATTACATCATATTAATGAGACGGACAGATTCTAAAATCACAGCCATGAACACACAGCACCTAGGAAAACGAAAGACTCAAGCACTGTGTCCCAAAGTCTTGCCTTTCTAAAATAGTGTGTTTGCGTGAGATGGTAATTGATAAATTGTTCATTAAATAACATCCTCCACCTCATTCATTTGTGGTGTTCCTGGTGAATAAAGAGGCCTGGGAGGAGCAGGGTAGGAGGCATGAATGTGAAAGAACGGACTGTCCCCAGCCTTCGGGATATGCCAACTCGGGGTGTGGCCCAGGTTCAGCAAGGAGGAGCTTTGAGGGCGTGATACCGCATTGCCATTTGGAACATGGAGGGGCAGGTTTAAGAAATGGGAGCTGAAACCCAGCGAGAGGATATTCTTTTTTTAAGATTTTCTATTTATTTATTTGACAGAGAGAGAGAGATCACAAGTAGACAGAGAGACAGACGGGGATGGGGAAGCAGGCTCCCCGCTGAGCAGAGAGCCTGATGGGGGACTCGAACCCAGGACCCTGGGATCATGACCTCAGCTGAAGGCAGAGGCATAACCCACTGAGCCACCCAGGCGCCCAGGAAGAGGATATTTTGCAGGGGCCTCTGAATCTTGGAGGATGTAACCAGGGTGTCTCTCCTCCCTGAGAATACATATGTGTAGACAGAGCCACACACACAAGCACACACACAGAATGGAGCTCAGCTATGGGGGTTCACTGCCATTTTGCTCCAAGTCCCTTTTGGGTTATGAGATACTGCCTGGAAGGAAGGGTGTATGTATGCCTCGCCCGGGCCCAGCCTGCACCCTGCCCACCTCGGTCTGGGTCCTCGGGGTGGCTGTGTGACTCGGGCCCTGGCTTCCCAAAGAGGGAAACATTCTATAGCCCTGGTTCCCTCGGCCTGAGCGTGGTCTGTGGCAGACATCTGTCCATTCTCCTCCACTGATGGCCACCTTGATTTCCATCCAGGTCGGATTCCCTCCAGGAGTGGTCAACATCGTGCCAGGATTTGGGCCCACAGTGGGAGCAGCGATTTCCTCTCACCCTCAGATCAGCAAGATCGCCTTCACGGGGTCCACAGAGGTAACCCTCCTCACCCACGGTCAGCCAGCGTGGCAGCCGCTGTCTGAGCCGAGACCTGGGAACTTTCCCCTTGAGCAGCTGAGCTATGATAATTTCTCCTAAGTGTGGCCACGTTTCAGTGCGTAACAATGAGTTAAAAAAAAAAAAAGCAAATAAATAAAGTCACTGGTCCAGTTTCCAAGCTAAGTAAGTATCTAATAGAACTCAGAAGCCTGAGAAGAAAAGATTGGTAGATAAGATAAAATAAAAATGTAAAACATCCAGAGGACAAACAGTGTCATAATCGAAGTTCACGGATACATGGCAAGCTGGGAGAAGCCCAGTCATGATGTATGCAGCTCTCCAAAGCTTAAAATCCATAATACCCTTAAAAATCAGTGAAAAAGGAAAAACAAACAAACGAACAAAAAACAAGCGCTCTAAGTGGTGGGGCAGTGGGTAACTCAGAGAAGGGAAACACCAAATGTCCAACAAGCTTGACCTGGCTCATTGGTCATCAGGGAAACGCAAATTCCAGTGAAAGTCAGAGTCTTTGTCTGTCAGATGGGTAAAAATTGGAATCTGGCCGTGGGAAACCAACAGACACTCCCCCATGGCAGTCCCCAGGCACAGGGCCGCCTCGTAGTATTGATCCCACATTTGACTCAGAAATTCCATTTCAAAGCCACTGGTCAGAGAGAGGGCTTCTCATGAGCCCTCAAGGACATGTCTTCCCGTATACTGTGTCCATTCTGTACGGGGTGTTACAGCCATTACAGTAAGGAAGACTGTTTGCTGTCTGAGTTTGAAGCACACAAAAAAGTAAACCGTGGGAAAGTAGCTACAGAATGATCCCACGAGGAAAAGTGTGTGTGGAGAGAAATCCGTAAGGATACCCAAGAAGTTCTTCCCGTGGCCACGTCTGTGCAGATCCTGGGGCATAGGGGAGAAGGGAGATGAAAACTTTCCCCCTTTGCCCTGACACACATCTCCTTGTGGAATTATATGTAATATTCTTCTGTCCTTGAGAAAGAAACAAATAAATGCTTCCCAAGCACGAAGTATCCCCCCCTTCTCCGCCATCTCCCCACAAATTTAGTCCAGCCAGGAGCCCAAGCTGTCTTCTCCCCCAATAGCAGATTCGTCCCTTCTCCTGTCCATCCCTGGCTTCTCTGCAGAGACACCCGAACCTCTCTAGGAGCCTTTAGGGCTGCCCCATGGGTCCAGTGGGGTGGTTTTCTCACTGGGCAGCCAAACTCAGGGACAAGAAAGTGGCCTCTGCCAGTGGCCTTACTCGGCTGGCCGGCATCTCCGGAAGGGGGACAGGGGTGCTTTCCCACCCTAGGTCCCCCTGCTGCACCCAGCCATGAAAGCCCACCTCAACCCCACAGGGAATTGCCAGTCCATGGCAGACTGGTGTTACTTCTGTTGCTCTCTAGGGACAATCCCTATCACTGTGGGACTATTCCAAATGTCATTTACTCCATCACCTATGAGCTGGCCAGTATTTAAAATGTACTCACACCTTAGTTTTGGGGGAACAGCCTCTTGCTGGCTGCCTGGTCTAAGTGTCTGTGTGCGGCTCGGTCTCCTGAGAGTCTGTGGGGCCCGCCGTATGATGGTCCGGGCCTCCACTCTGGCAGTGTGTGCTGTGATAGGAGAGACCCTCCGGGTACATGAAGGAGGTTGGTGAGGCGTCCTGTTCCTGCCCCATGTACCGGTTCTCTCCCTTCCCCCTGGGGAAGCCTCGGTCTTGAGTCTGTTGTCAGAGAATTGGCTCTTTCTCCTCCTGAAGGTCAGCTTCCCTATTACCATAAATTTGGAGGTTCCCGCAGATTATACCAAAGAGCCCCGCAGAACCCCGTCCCCCATGAGCGAGAGCTGGAACAGCTACCCCTGGGTCCCCTCGAGCCCTTTTCCAGACGAGCTGGACTGGCCTGCTTCCAGGAGCCGGCTGTGCCAGGAGCTGGCTGTGCCAGGAGCCGGCTGTGCCACTAGCCAGCTGTGTGGCTGTGGGCATATCGCTGGGCCTTCCAGAGGCTCCCGCTCCATCCACCCCTGTAAGTGGAGCAGCTCAGACAGAGTGATGTCAAGGTCTGATCCGTGAGGAGATGCAGGGAGAGGCCGGGGGCTGGGGAGGCAGCCTCAGAGGCCTAAGGCCCCTGGGCAGAGAGGCAGGAGACCCATAGATTTATCTAGAACGTGCGGGCCACGTCTGGCCCCAGCCGAGGTTTCATTTGGTCTGTTTTTCATCCTGAAGGTTGGAAAGTTGGTTAAAGAAGCCGCCTCTCGGAGCAATCTGAAGAGGGTGACCCTGGAGCTTGGGGGGAAGAACCCCTGTATCGTGTGCGCAGATGCCGACCGTGAGTGTCTTCCCTTCTGGACGTTACTGGGGTTTAGTCCTTAAATCTCTCCCAGATTCCTTGTGCAATCTCAGAACCAGCTGAGAGAGAGACACACGTATACACACGAAATGGCGATGTTTATCCATCTTGGGTTGTCCTGTCCTAAGCAGGCAGATGAGATCAAAACACCAGTTTTATTGCTCATGGAAAGGTGCCTTGGGGAAATATGTGTCCTGTGTGGGGGCCAAGGGGCTGCCTGTTTCTGCCCTTCAAGATTATGTTTGTGTTCCCCATCCCTGCAGAGCTGGGGCCGTAAGGAGCCGATCCAGATCCTTCTCCAGACTCTCCTGTGCAGGGAGACGGCCAGGAGAGGGAGGAGCTGGGCAGGTGCTCCCCACTCACAGGCATTAATCACCCCCCACCCCTCTCCGAAACTTGAGATGTTTCTTCCTTCTTTGTCTCAGACCTGACAAATGAGAGGACAGTGGCAGCGGACCCTTAAACATGTCCCCCTAGTCTGGGTCCTATTTGTCTGTCTGTCTCCCGCCACCACCTCTTCTCTGGGCAAGCATCCCCGCCCAGCAGCTTGGGGGCGGTGTGTGTCTTGCTAGAGGTTCCTGAGATGATATGAAACTGTATGCTATTCTTGGCTGCCATGTCCAGAGGAAGGAAGGGCCATGTTGGGCATTCAGTCTCCTGCTGACAGGGTCAGCTGCCAAAAGGTGTGCCTTCCCAGGTACCCCGAAGCACCTTCTAGAAAAGCCTTCCTCACCTGCCCCCTGGAAATTCCTTTCATGGAGAACAAAGCTTTACATTCCACTCTCAGATAAGGTGGGTGCTGCAAATATCCCTGAGAAAAAGGACCCTAGTACAATTTCTTGCTAAAGTGTAAAGGACTGATATCACTTCCTCTCCTTGAAGCTGGCTTTCTGTGGGAGAGCGAGTGGCCTGGGTGAGGCAGCAAGCTTCAGGGAAGGAGAAGGAAGCTGGGCATGAGGACAGATGGCTCCTTTGTCGCCTGGGCTTGTGCTCCCTTGTAGAAGCCTTGGTGGTGTTGGTAATGGTTTCTGGAACCACACAGAGCAGTTCTGGGTGTTGCCACATCTGGGGTCCCAAACTCCAGTCCTGAAGAGCCAGGACCCTTGTTTCTCATTCTTGTGCCACCATATCTGGGCACCCGGTCTCCACCTCAGCTCCTCCTCTCTCCCTGGCACTGAAGAACACTGCAGCTAGAACACAAAACTCCCTCCCGTTCGGGGGTTGGTTTTATAAGGCTCATGAACGCCGAGGGCAGCATTCCCCGGAGCTGCTTCAGAGCGGTGCCGGGATGTCTGGATAGCCTGCCTGTGCCCTGCAGGGGCCATGCGTTTGCCCAGTGCAAAGTGTGCAAAGTGTGCCCAGTGCATTTCCTAAGCAGTAGCGTAGCGTGCATGTTGGAGGGGGGCGGGGGGTGCAGAAAAACCAGCTCACTGTGGAGCGCTGGAGACCACACTGTGAGCTGTAAGCGATACCCCACTGAGCATTCTTCTCCCTGAAGCACGGCCCCGAAGGTTTTCCTTACTAAGCACCCTTCTGGTTTTAACCCGATGCCCGCTCTCGAGTTCGGATACAGACCTCCTCGGGCAGAATCGGTGCTCTCTTTTTAACCCGTATCTGTCCTACATGGAGTTAACATTACTAAGACTTAATAAGCAAAAGAAGCTGACTTCGTAGGACTTGGTAGTGAAGGAACCTCAAGGAGGACTAGCTCTCACCTGTCGGCCTGCATCAGTTCTTACTTATGGAAGACTATTCTAGAACTCTCTAGAATGCCGGTCCTCTAGAAAGGGGGAGGAGTGGGGGTCCGGGAGTGGGTGAACCGGGGAGTGTAAACTCTGTGTGGTCCTTAGAGTAAGGAAGTCCTGCACTCAGGGGACTGATTTCCCCCCACACTTGGGTGCACCCAGAAAATCCTTGTTCCCATCCTCTCTGTTGGGAAATGCCGGGAATAAAATTAATTTCTGCAACTCGGCTGTTCCGGGGCCTCTTTTCTGGTGCGGGCAATTAGCATTGCAGCTGTCACCGGTCCTGCCCTAACGACTTAATCGCTTCCTCCTGCCCCCGCCACCCGCTCCATCCAGTGGACTTGGCAGTGGAGTGCGCCCATCAGGGAGTTTTCTTCAACCAAGGTCAGTGCTGCACGGCCGCCTCCAGGGTGTTCGTGGAGGAGCAGATCTACGCCGAGTTTGTCAGGCGGAGCGTGGAGCACGCCAAGAAGCGTCCGGTGGGAGACCCCTTCGACGTCAGAACGGAACAGGGGCCGCAGGTAACCCACTGATGCGGCAGAACCCGCAGTGTGCCCCTGGGGGCTGAACCAGGCAGCCCCTCTCGCCCTTGGCCCCTTACAGCTCTGGTGCTTTTCCATCGATTCCCGGGTCCCTCCCAAACAGAAGGGAGGCTGCCTTGCCTTCCGCTTGCTTTCGTGTTGACACCATCCCTTGGGGTCTCTGTGGGCTTATAAAGCGGGAGTAGACACACAGAGGTTTTGCTCTTTGTGGCTGATAATGCCAGGCTCAGGGCCCCGGCAAGGAGGAAGGCATTCCCAGTTCATATGGCGCCATGCCTGCACCCTCCAGCCAAGAGGACCGTCCAGTCTCTGAGCCACCAGGATTTCCAGAAGAGAGACTCGGGCAGAGGCTGTGTTACCTGGCTGGTCTCCTTGCAGAAGAGGGGTTATAACCATGGCCAAAAGGCAGCAAAGTATAGGCAGAGGCCAAGTACCTAGAGCCCACGGTCTGAGCCTCCAGGACCTCCCTGGAGCTCACGTGCACTGTAGGACAAGGTCACTGTCAGAAACCAAAGAATCCCAGTGGAGAGGGAGTGCAGAGGGCTCAGGGAACAGGGCTGCGTCTCTGGGCAGGCGGAGCCCGTCTCCGGAGGCCCGGTTTTTGAAACTAACGACGGGATGAAAATGATCATAACCGCAAGGTTTAATAACCTCTTTAAAAGGGCACATCGTGTATCACTTTCTTACTAATTATGCAGTACAGCAGATGGATAAATATTTAAAAGAGGGCAGCCTGACCATCTATGCATTATTGAAATAGAGCTCGACAGCAACCCACTTTGCTGGGAGCCAAAGTCCTGCCCCAGCCACGAAGTTGCAAATCCCATGTCCAGACTCTGTACTTGTGTCTGTCCCGGGAGCTCAGTGCTTCCGCACTGCACTGGCACCGCATGTTTACATGGGAAACCACACAAGTTTGGCTCTGTGACTTTGTGGAAGTCCCAAGCTCTTGCCAAACCTCACTTTCCTCATCTGGAAAATGGAAATAATGGATGAATATTGTGAATATTTCAAGGTACCTAATAAGTCTTTATTTTTTAAAGGTGGAGGCAAGGGGTGTATTCAGTGACAGGCTCCCTGATCCAGGTGGCAAAAGAAGTGTATGACTTCAGGCCATGTCTATCAGGTCTTGCTTAACCATCCCTGGCCGGGGAAGGGGGAGGACCATGTGGAAAAAGGTGCATTTCTGGCCACTGTGCCCATCCTTGCCTTGCCCCAGCCCACATGCATGGCAGCTCCAATGCCACGTGACCCTGGTGGAGAGAAGCATCCCAGTTGTGGCCAAAACTCTCCACCCTGCCAGACCTCAACTCCAAACCTAGTGGCCAGTGACACAGAGTTGTCTAGTGACCTCGGTTGGATTTCAGGTCTGAATGCAAACATGGCCACAAGCCATTATCAAATCCACCGTGATTGTAAAGTTAATCCAGACTCCATGGGAAATATGCGAGCTGATCCCATACTAAGGAAAACCTTTCACCCCATCATTATTCGTAAGTCTCTTTCCAAGGCTCCAGGCTTGACTTCTGAAGCCAGATACAGAAAATCTCTTCCAAGAGAGCAGATTCAAGCAGAATGGGTGTTGATTTCGTCGGTGCTTTTGATGCTGCTGCTAAAAGTCCTTCTGAAAGCTCACTTAAGCTGCCTAACCTCAGCATATTATTTTAGGACGATGTTGGATTTTTTTCTCCCAAAGTGCTTTTTCATCTACGGTAATAAGATTTTTACTCAGAGAGGATTTACAGCTGTCCAAATAGTCCTGTCTTTCTCCTGCCTATTAAAGAGCTAGCTGACCTAGATCAGTGTCCACGGCAGACAGCCAGCCAAATGCTCCAGAATCGTTCAGGTTTATTTGGCAACTGAGCAACGAGGCACATAAACATTGCACAAGACACCTGGTGGGGGTGGGTCTGGTGCCCTCTCCAGCAGAGCCAAGTGTAGCTTCCGACCTGTCCTTTGGGGTCTGCCTGACTCTGTCCCTGGTGTTGTACCCAGCCATGTCCTTTACTTCTGGAAGGTTCTCCTTCCAGCCAGGAATGCACCAGCTGACATTTCTTGGGGGATTATTAGATTGAGACAATGTGTTCACATGGACTCATCAGGAAGAATGGAGTCTGGATATGCAGGCTTTCCACGGGGACCCAGCCCTGCCCCCAGGACAGACAGACAGAAAATGGTCACAGCCATTCAGGACCTGTATTTGGTTAAGCCCTTCAAACCCTCTTGGCCTCTGGGGAGGAGGGAAGAGTATCTTGGAACTTTTAACTCCAAACTTGGTTCACCCAAGAGAAGTTGAGAGAACCTTGAGATACTACTGGAATCACTGGAGTTGTTTGAATTACTTGCTTAGGTGGGAGTACATTCCCAGGGGTTAAAACCTAGAACACATAGAGAGGTCAGTGGAGAAAAGGCTTTCTTTCATCCCCCCCTCTCCATTCATAGGCCTGGTTCTTAACCTTCCTTCTATGGGTATCCTACAGTCTTAGTTTCTCATGTATCCCTCCAGAACTTCTTTATGGATATAGAAGCAAATATGAATATGTGCTCTCATTTCCCCTGTTTTTTTACCCAAAAGGTAACTGATATCTATCCTGATTTTCACCTTGGTTTTTGTGCCCTTGTAAGAAACTTGGAAGGGCTTTCTATATTGGCTGGGGGGTGGGGGTACAGGGTAAGGTGGTCAGCTTTCCTTCTCCCTTCTCCTCTGCACCATGGATGGGCAATTCCAATAACTGTCACCCTCATCCAACATGCCCTGTAAGAAGAGGGCAGGGCTTCCAGATAACCTACATGACACTCAGCTAGACTGGAAGTTTAAATAAGCAAAGAAGACTTTTTTTTTAATCATAAGTATATCCCAAATAAGGAAAGACTTCTTTAGCATAAGCATATCCCAATCATGACTTGGGATATGCTTATGCTAAAAAAGTCTTTCATTGTCATTCAAAAACGCAAATTTAACTGGGTGCCCTGTAATTTTATTTGCGAAATCTAGCAACCCTTGCAGGATGCAAGAAGTTGGGAGAGCAAAGAATGTGACCATTTCAGATCTCGTTTCATTCACAGGTTTGCTTAATAGCATGGAAGGGGTCTGTGGTAGGATAGACGGTGCACGGGAAAGGATGAGGAGAGCCTATTTCCCCATCTCTCCCCTGCTCCAAAAAGCCTAGACTTGTGCATCAGAGGAATATTCGCATACAAGGCACATCTGTCCTGTGAATTATGACTTGGCAAGAACACTTAGGGGTGGGACAGCTGATCATGTGAATGGCCGTTGGACCCATAAGATGGCAGCCGCAGCCCAAAAGGAATTCAAGCCATACCTCTCCTTGTGTTTTGCAGATAGACCAAAAGCAGTTTGACAAAATCCTCGATCTGATCGAGAGTGGGAAGAAGGAGGGAGCCAAGCTGGAATGTGGGGGTTCAGCCATGGAAGATAGGGGGCTCTTCATCAAACCCACCGTCTTCTCGGAAGTTACGGACACCATGCGCATTGCCAAAGAGGAGGTACTGGTGGTGGCAGGAAAATCTTCATCTCAAGGGGACTCTTGTGGGGTGGGAGAGCGAGAGGAGGGAGTCTTACAAACAGAAGTCTTCTCTAGGGCTCAGGGACCCCGGAAGTCATTGTGAGGGGAGAGTTTTCCTTTCTCCTGTGGCTTTCTTCCTCTCCTTTGGTTTCTGAGGGAAGCCATCTTGCCTACCTGCCTTTGGGAACCCCTAGCCCTATATAGCAGCTGAAGAGTTTGTCCTAAACCCCCCATTTTCACATGTCTCTGGGGAGCCGCAGTCCCTCTTCTTTCTTCTAACACATCCTCGAGTTAGCTCATGGTGGAGGGTTCTTGCCCCCTGTGGGTTAAAACAGTGGATTCACAGCCCAAAGCTACCTTCAGCCCCGCTAGACTGAACTAAAATGAAAAGTGTGTTCATTCAAAGAACCATCGGGGCTGGAATTTTCTTTGAAGTTTTCTGTCACGAGCATCCTTGGAAATGGTGGAAATTGAGGAGACCCCCCCCCAGTAAAAGTGGGATTCTAACTTGGTCTTTCAATCTCACTGTGAGTCTGGATGGACACTGGTTCCCACCTAGGGTTCCAGGGGGTCGGACCCTGGGCTGTGTGGTGTTTTGGGATGCAGAGAAAGTGAATCACTGCTGCGCGCTTCCTGTGTGGGTATTTTATAGACTTTCTCCTGGAGGTTTTTATGGGATTTTTATTTTTATTTTACATTGCGAGGAACAGTGTCTTCCTCTGTCCCCTGGGAGTTATTAGGGAGACATTTTATGGTGCCTTTGTTGATGGAAAACGTACCACCAAGAGGCCGGGGCACACAGCCCTACAACCCCCTCAGCAATAACTTTCCACAAAAAACTCGCCAAGTTTTGTCTTGTGGGCATATCAGCAGGCTGGGGCTTCTCAGAAGCCCTGATGACAATAAGAGAGAGAAGCCTGAAACATGCTTTCGGTTGGTATCTTAAGTTCGGCTTAGTCATAATCCTTCCCTTCAGATGTCAACTGTCCAGTAGCTCAAAAGATCTCCGCAGGTTCTTTGCTCTCCAGTCCTTGCTCCTCACACGTGTGAGCGCTCTGGATGAAACGAAGGCCATACTTGCTCAGAACGGATGCCCTTCGTCCGGACGCCCCTCTCACTGCCGTTCTTGTAATTCCACATAGATTTTTGGACCGGTGCAGCCAATCCTGAAGTTCAAAAATATCGAAGAAGTGATAAAAAGGGCCAACAGCCTTGAATATGGACTCACGGCAGCTGTGTTCACAAAAAACCTCGACAAAGCACTGAAGCTGGCTTCCGCCTTGGAGTCTGGAACCGTCTGGTGAGTAGCAGATGCGTGCGTTTCTGTTCTCCGGAGTGGCTGGCTTGCTCGCTTCACCACCCTTCTATGGACAGACAGCTTCTAGTCACATGTTCTGGGCCAAGCACTGTCTTAGAGCTTTGGTCCATCCTCATGACCACGTCTGAGACGGACACCATCATTGTCCCTGTTTAACAGAGGAGGAAATGGAGACACAGAGAGGCTGGGTGATTTGCCTAGGGTCACACAGCGGGTACAGAGCAGAGCAGAGCCCAGAGCCGGCCGGCCAGCTCCGCTGCCCCTGTTGCTGACCACCGTGTTGTGCTGTCCCTCGCACTCCACTCCCTCCACCTTTATTTTTTATTCTGACTCTAAAAGCAGTGCATGGTCTTGTCCAAAATGTGAACCAAAGTCCCTGCTTCCCCAGTCATCTTGCCAATGACATTATCCTCACTGGAATGATGATAATGCTTTGGGGCTCAGAGAGGCTAAGTTACAAGCCCAGAATCCTTACAAGCCAAGAACAGGAGAGCTTTGAGGTCAGGTCTGGCCGATTTCAAAGCTAAATCTTATTCCCCGATGCTGCAGTTTCCCTCTTCTTTCTTCTCGCCTTGACATTCCATTCCTATCTCGGCAAAAAGCTTTATGCTTAGGAATATTCAGATTTTAGGCATGCCTGGGTGGCTCAGTCAGTTAAGCACCTGCCTTCAGCTCAGGTCACGATCCCAGGGTCCCAGAATCGAGTCCCACATCGGGATCCCTGCTCAGTGGGGAGCCTGCTTCTCCCTCTCCCTCCACCTGTTGCCCTCCCCTGCTTGTGCTCTCCCTCTATCTCTCTCTGTGTCAAATAAATAAATTAAAATTTAAAAAATTTTTTTTAAGATTTTATTTATTTATTTGACACAGAGAGAGAGGTCACAGTAGGCAGAAAAGCAGGCAGAGATAGAGGGGGAACCAAGCTCCCCGCTGAGCAGGGAGCCCGATGTGGGGCTCAATCCCGGGACCCTGAGATCATGACCTGAGCTGAAGGCAGAGGCTTAACCCACTGAGCCACCCAGGTGCCCCAAAATTTAAAAAAAATTTAAGGATTATTTAAATTTTAGCTTCTGGTGGGAAGAATGAGAAGGCAGAAGTTGAAAACCCACTGTTGTCATTACTAAAACTTTGACAGCAAGTCATCCTTTAGGCAACGGTCTGTTTCATGCTCCTGAGAGCCGGGACACCCGTGACCCTGGTCGGCCTTCCCCAGGTAATTGTGAGCATCTTTCGTTCTTCCTCTAGGATCAACTGCTATAATGCCATCTACGCACAGGCTCCATTTGGTGGCTTTAAAATGTCAGGAAATGGCAGAGAACTGTAAGTATTTGCTCTCGCACACCTGCCGGCAGGTGAACAAAACACACCCTAGATTCGCGGTGGGCAGGAGTGCGGGCAGGTGCTCTAGTCCACCAGCCTTGCCCCGTGCCCCACTGTGTCAGCCATGTCAGGACGGCTGGTGCCCCTTTCCCTCTGGGACTGCGATGGATCTCTCTCACCCTCTCTGTCCCTCCTGCCTTCCCGCTTCTGCTGTCCTCCACCCTCATCCTCATCCCCTGCTCCTTTGGGCCCCAGGACGAACCTCTAGCCTCAGCTTCTGTGTCCTCCCCGGCACCTACCACACATGGAGATGCCAGTAGAGACTTGGCCCAGGCTCCCCACACGAGGACAGGGGCAGAACTGGAAAAGGGCACTTTTTGCCAGACTCACACAAACCCCAGCCCTCAGCAAGGAAGACAGGCTCTCTCCCAGGCTCCGCAGGCAGACTCGGGGTACTCTGACTCCTTCTCCGTGCCTCTCTGGGAGACATACTGCGGTGCCCTTCGTGGCTCCCTCAAATCCACCACATGCTCCCAAAGGGCTGCTTTCCATCTTGCCCGCTGGGAAGAGGCACTCCGTGGGCAGAGAGTCATGGACAGGCTTTCTTGTGTCTGGCCCAAGATAAAAGGTCCAGGCACAGAGCCGGACAGAGCATTCCAGGAGTGGACACACTGTCGTTTCCAGCTGGACAAGGCCTTCTCTCCCACGTCCTTCTTGGTGGTTTTTATTAGCCTTTGTGGACAAACAGCTTTTGGGATCCATCTTCCCAGGGGGACCATCTGTGACAACAGGCAGGGCTGCTCCTGGAACATTTCAGAGGGCTCAGAGCTCTTACTCTTTGTTAAACAGTTTGTGTTATTTATATACAAATGCATTACCTCGTACTTGTTTGTAGATCTTCCAATGGGAGAACTCAGATGCTTCCCCTCAGCTTGGGCCTTCGTGGGGCCCTTGGGCAGCTCCCCTTCCAGATTCTTCCTAAAGACGTTATGAGAGAACGGGGCTGGCTTCCCTTCCTAAACAAATCCTTTCGACTCTTCTCCACGGAACTGGGGTCCCTCCCCCCATCTTGGTCTTTCTTTTTGATCCATTCCTGAGTCATGGCAAATATGCCAGAAACATCCAAACATCTGAGGAAAACATGTCTACTGGTGTCCCTCTTATGCCTATGACGCGTTTCCCCTTCAGAGAACCTCAGTAAATTCTCAGCCGTGAGAACCCTTTGTAGAAATCATGTTTCATCCCACATGGCTTGTCTGTTTTCTGTTCTATGTGCCTCTGCTTCAGTTTCTTTCCACACCCTCCTGCTTGAGAGAGGCATGGGGCCTGGGCTGGGGTTACCTGGGTCCCTGTCAGGGCCCGCCACCAGCCGCAGTACGGGTGACCGCTGGCCGGTACTGAGCACAGACCGTGCAGGCTCTGTATGAGCACTTTTTCATGTGTGCCTTCACGCCACGCTCACGACAGTCCACAAGATGGTGTGTCTTTGTTCTGCTTGCCATGCCAGAGTACTGTGTAGACGGGGTGGCTTAAACAGGAGATACTGATTGCTCACCATTCTGGAAGCTGGAAGCCTGAGATCCAAGTGCTAGCAGATCTGGGGTCTGGCAAGGGTTCCTCTCCTAGTTGATAGAAGGGTGTCTTCTCACTGTGTCCTCACATGGTGGAGGGGGTGAGGGAGCTCTTGGGGGTCTCCTTTTTAAGGACACTTAACCCTATTCATGAGGGCTTCCAACTCTCCTAACCTAACCACTTCCCAAAGACCCCACCTCCTAATACCTTCCCATTGGGAGTTGGGGCTTCAGTGTAGGAATTTTAGGTGGACACAAACATCGGGTCCATTGTAGATGCCTGCTACTACCACTAACTACCCATGTTTCCGGGTACTACCCCAGGGATGCCAGGGAGGTTCCCTGCCTTTCCCGGGTCACACTGCCAGTAAGGGACAAAGGCAGGGTTGAGCCCTTGGGCCCACCACACCACAATGCCTTGCTCAGCGGGGGTGTCACCTCTGTAAGCCACATGGATTGAAGCCAGACAGGGCATACGTGGTCATTTGTCTCCTCTGATCAGCAGCCTTCAACCAGTCAGGTCATGACTGATGAGGAGGGGACCCAGGACCCCACACGGTCCTCCCCTCAGAGATCAGATGCAGTAAGAATTTGGGTCCCCAAGCAGACGACCTTGGATGTCAAAGCTGCAGGAAGGGTGTGTGGGGCCCTCCTGACTTCTAGTGTGTACTAACTCACACCGACTCTGGCTTATGGCTTTCCTCACCTGTGTCATTTGCGTCTCCACTCCCCTCCAACCCCAGGTTTTAACGGGCTTTCAGGGCCTCAGCACCCCTGTCTGGCTCAGGGCGCAGAGCGCAGCGCGGCTCTCATCCCGCCGCAGCCGGGACTTTTTTCCATGTGTTTTTTTGACCCTTGGCATATATTTTTTCAAGACTTTTGATAAAGCACTTTAACGTAATCCACAAGGGGCCTGGAAACTGACTTGAAAACCAATTTCCATTTGCACTGGTCTCTGATTAATGTCTTCATGTTCCATCGAGTTCTCCTTTTGTGTGTTGGAGCACGGGGAGGGGGATTCCGTGGTTTTCCCCAGCCCCGGCCGCCTGGACCGGGCTGGCTCTCTGCCGCCCACCCACAAGCCCCTCCGGGGATCTGGTCCTGTGCGTGTCTTGGGACGAAGCCTCCAAGTTCTCTTCCTCCTGGGCACTTTTCTTGATGGTTTTGCAATCACAGCAACAACAAGCAACAAAATCCACACAGTCGAGAAGGGTGGAAAGCTAGGCCTCCCTCCGCGGATCCTTAATCCCGTTTGTTAGAGATAAGCACGGTCCCATCACTCATTTTTGCCCCCATTTGTTTACTTAGCCAATATTTAATGAGCACCTTTGGGGCACGTGCTGGGTTCTGAGCCCAGAGCAGCGATCACACCTTCCCCTGCCAACGTTCTGGTGGGGTCCAAGAGGAGAAGGGCCGGGTTCATGATTGGCCTCGAGCGCCAAGACTGTCACGACTGGGCAAGAAACCCATTAGGAGAGGCCACAGGGGGTCCAGAACTTGAACTTTGGCAGGGATTGCAGGAATAGGAAGAATAAGGTGATTCGTGTACTTCATCCTACAGGAATGGTTTAAGACTGGACTTGATTAGTTAATCAGCTAAGTAACTGAATGTGCTTTCATCATTTGGTTTATTACTTTTCTTTACAAAGTCGCTATATCATTAACTATTTCGCGTTTTTAACAACGCAATACTAGATATTCACTTTTAGAATTTACTTGTGTATTTTCTTTGTAGTACATTCTTTTCTGTTTTCTTTTTTTTTTTTTTTAAGATTTTATTTATTTATTTGACAGAGAGATCACAAGTAGGCAGAGAGGCAGGCAGAGAGAGAGGGGAAGAAACAGGCTCCCTGTTGAGCAGAGAGCCCAATGCGGGGCTCCATCCCAGGACCCTGAGTTCATGACCTGAGCTGTAGGCAGAGGCTTTAACCCACTGAGCCACCTAGGCGCTCCATTTTTTCTGTTTTCAAATGAAATGGGAGTGAACTTTTTGGGGGCTTGAGAATGGGCTTTGGATATTCCTCCATTCTTTTTATTAAGGGTCTTCTGTGATGGACTTTTCTGTTATATCCAAGGGCTTTTCCTATTACGAACCATTCTGGAATAAATCTTTATGCACTTGTGGGAGATTATTTTCAGAATAAATTCCTAAAATTGGGTAATCTGCTCCATGAGAAATGAGCTCCCAGTCTTTTGGTTTGTGTGTCTTTAATTGCAAGGGTGTTGAGCATGTTTTTCACACTTACTAGTAATCTGTATTTGTTTTTCTGTGAACTGACTGTTCATGCCCTTTGTTGATTTTTCCATTTGTTTGTGGGCTTTTTAAATTGGGTTTTAAGAGCTCTTTGTATATGAAGGAAAATGGCACGGTTTCCCACACAGGGTTGTGATTGTAATTTTTTTCTAGCTTGTCATTTGTTTGGGGGGGGGTTGAAATGGATTTTCCACTCTGCAAAAATTGAATTCAGCGTTCTGCGTATGGCTTTTATATTTTGTGTTATGTTTAAAAAGGATTACAAAATACTTCACTCATTCTCACGGGTTCTTGAACTATTTGTTTCAGGGAACTACCAAAAAAAAAAAAAATCTCAATGACTTATTCATTAAGAAATAATAATACTTTCTACCCTTTATTTATTTAAAAAATTTTTTTTAAAGATTTATTTATTCGACAGAGACCCAGGGAGAGAGGGAACACAAGCAGGGGGAGCAGGAGGGGAAGAAGCAGGCTTCCTGCCAAGCAGGGAGCCCAATGCCGGGCTCGATCCCAGGACTCTGGGGATCATGACCTGAGCTGAAGGCAGATGCTTAAGGACTGAACCACCCAGGCACCCCTACCCTTTATTTTTTACCTGTACGTAGGAGGTGCTCTATAATAAATCATCTCCAAACAAGATAAGGTCAAGGAGGCGATGGTATGCCCATTTTAAAGATAATGAATTGGAGGCTTAGGAAGGCCTAAGTACCTGCCTGCGTGGGTCTAAGCCAGTAGTTCTCTAGCTTGAGTGTTATCAGAATCTCCTGGCTTGTTACAGATTTCTGGGCCCCACTTCAGTAGGTGTCTTAGTTTTCTATTGCCGCTACAATAAATTATCACAAAATTTGTGGTTTGAACAACCTAAATGTACTATTTTACACAGTTCTGTAGGCTAAACATCAGACGGTCTCACTGAGCTGAAATCAAGGCATGCACGGGGCTGCATTTCTTTCTGGGGACTCCAGGCAGAGAATATGTTTCCTTGTCTTTTTCAGCTTCTAGAGGCTCCCCACATTCCTTGGCTGGTGGCCCCGTCCTCTGTGCTCAAAGGCAACACCGTTGCAGCCCTCTAAACCCTGCTTCTGCAGTCTAATTTCCCTCTGACTCTCTTCTGCCTCCCTTGTACCCTCTTAAGGATCCTGGTGATTATATCGGGCCCACCCAGATAATCCAGAATACCCTTGTATTTTATTTTATTTTTTTAAGATTTTATTTATTCATTTGACAGACACAGATCACAAGTAGGCAGAGAGGCAGACAGAGAGAGAGGAAGGGAAGCAGGCTCCCCGCCGAGCAGAGAGCCTGATGCGGGGCTCGATTCCAGGACCCTGGGATCAGGACCTGAGCCAAAGGCAGAGGCTTTAACCCACTGAGCCATCCAGGCGCTCCTAACCTTATATTTTAAAGCCAGTTAATTGGCAGTTTTAATCCCATCTGCAGCCTTAATCCCCTTTTGCCATGTAACCTAACACCAGTTCCGAGGGTTCAGATAGGGTCACCCCGACTCTGGCGTTATTCTGTCAACCCCTGGGGAAGGGTAGGGGGCCTGGGAATCTGCATTTGGGGCAAGTTCTGAGGTGTCACTGAGGCGCTGAGACCACACTTTGAGAACCACAGATCGAAGAGACGAAATGGGACTCTGCAGACCCTCCAGTGGTCGCCTCAATTTTGAGCTCTTTTCCTCAACAAGGACACATTTGTATCTACCTAACAGCAGAGAAAGTGTCGTAGAGGCATTTAAATCTGTCCAAGGCCACATCTCAGTTCTGGGAAGGGGAGCTACCCTGAGGAAGGTCCATGATACCTGAGAAGGGGCCCCTGGGCTCCGCAAGACGTAGAGAAAGGACACAGAGCAAAGATGCGAACTCAGAGGTTGTGGCCCCCCGCGTGTCTAGTCTGTGCTCACATCTGCTCCCCTCGCTGCTCTGGGCTGGCCTGACTCCTCCTACAGCTGGTCGCCAGCTGTGGGCTCCGAGGTCCACTCTAGGCCCCTCCATGTCCCTCTTCCTTGTGGATCCTCTGGCCACATCCCCCGGTCCCCTCCTTGTCCACCCATGTGGGCCCTCTTCTCACTCTGTACTCCCCACCCAGGGGATCCACCTCTCGCCCCATCCCTTTCATTCATTTAAGGCAAATCTTTCTGAATATTTCCAAAGCATCACACACCAAAAAACCTCATATTTAAACTTAAGTTATACATCGAGTTACTCAAACATACTAATGGTGTGACTGTCCTGGATATTCCCCTATGAAGTCATCACATTCTGACCTTTTGCGCCGACTCCAAACTGCCCAGCCGAGTAATTGGCCAGCCAAGCGTTAGAACACAGTGGCGACAGAATGGCAAGGTGACATACCCGTTTTATATTCTCCTCTTTTCTGTGATCGCAGTGGTGAGTACGCACTGGCTGAGTACACAGAGGTGAAAACTGTCACCATCAAACTCGATGACAAGAGCCCCTGAAGGAAAGGCGGGCTCCTTCCTCAAGCATCTGACAGCTGAATGTGGCAGATCAAATTTTGCCGAAGAAAAAACTGCATTTGCCGCCTTCCCGGGGTTCCTTTGCTCTGGAGACTTTAAATCTACTGGATTTGAATGATTTCCACTTTCCTTTCACACTCCTGTTTTAGTGACCAATCCGTTGTATATGTGGAATTGCAGTCCTGCCTGGGGATGGAGCTCAGGGTCCTTTCCATTTTTCCCTTTCAACCAGGTCCCTTTGGGGACAGTGAAGGGGCTCAGGGCGTGGCCAACAGGAAGTGTTATTTGAAGTCTCCAGCGGTCCCTTAAAAATGTTTGGCCGATTCTGACTTCGGTAAGAACTTGGAAAAACGCCCGGCTTGCTCTACAAACAGGGCCCTGCACCTGCGGCTTCTCGGGGTTACCTGCCCACGACCCGAGACCCTCCTACCAGTTAGCGGAAAAGAAACAGAATGAAGTTCAAAACAAACAAACAGGATTGTGAGGATCCAATGGGGGCCGCTTTGGGGAAGCAGGTGCCATGGAAAGGTACTGAAGGTCTTGGGTGTGAAAGGGTGTGGGTTTTTCAAGGACTGCCTCTTGACATTGACCATGGGACTCCGCTTAAAACAAAAACTCCTTTTGGAATATGACCGAATCAGTGCCCAACATGCTTATCTAAAACTATGTCACGGGCGACCTTAACCAAGGCACTTTCTTAGGCAGAAAACATCGCTAGTGTCACCTTTGCTTCTGATGACCCAATGATGACGGCTTAGCAGCTGCGTTTTACAAACCAGAGCCATAATTCCCTTTTACAAATTCTGAATTTCTGCACCTTGCATTAACGGGTTATGATCCGTCTGTGTAGCTCTCTATGTCTCCAGCTTGGTGATCTATGTTAGATTAGCAAAGCATACACAACTGGAAAGGCTGTTGCTTTAATACCACTTGGTTTTTTAAAGTCCTATTTTGATATTAATGATTAATTAACAAATAACACGGGACTCCGTGGAAGAACTGGGTCCCTCAGTACTAAAGTGGCCTGAGGACTGCACTAACATGTTGTGAATGTTTCTTTTCCTCTTTATATCCGCAAATGCTGTGCAATCCCAAGTTTTAAAGTGTTCCCCGATTGCTTCTAAAAAAACAAAACCAAATGGAATTGTGCTGTTTGGATACTTCCACTGTTACTAATTAGTTACTTTTCTGAGGGTGCTTCTATTTGGGAATTCAATTATGTTTGAGAATTAAACTGGGGGGAGGGCAATAAGATGACAAACGTCAAAACCAGTGTATGGATGAAAGAAAGCCCTGTATGGAATGGGGTTGTCGTTCTTGTCAGAAATAGGCAATAGCAATTCACCTTCTCCGCATCAATAAACACTTACCACTTAAACTGTCAACAACTCGCTAGGTCAGGGGTTGACTTCGTACACTGAATTTTCAGGATTTTATCTCAAGCAACTATAGACACTAACCTTGTTAGTAATCCATTAGAGGGTTCTTATTCTCTCATTGTACAATAATGCCTTTATTATGAAATGCTACGTTATTTATAATTGGTATAGTTAATGTATCTTTTTATAGTTGTAAGTAAACAGAGGTGGTATATTCAACCTTCTGTAATATACTGTATTTAGAAATGGAAATCTATATAGTAATAGATTTCACTTCTTTTAAGGTTTACTCCTGTGGTATGGTTTCAGAAAAATCTATTGGCCTGGGAATTCTGACCCCCAACTACCGATTATGTCCGACAATGCAACAATGATAAAATAAAATCGGATATTTGACAAACATTATTTTTTTTTTCATTTAAGGACCAAACTCATTTTAATTCTGCGGCAGACCTTTCTCTTTCTCAGAGCTAATGTACAAAATGGCTTGTCATTAAGCAGTATCTGTGGCTTAAGATTCAAATTCCATTTGCTCAATCGATCAGGCCTCACATTTAGCCTGAGTGTGAAACCTACTCATCTGTGTTTGCTGGTTGAGCAGACAGGGAGCTCGGCCTCAAAGGCTCCGCGGCTTAGCTGGTGAAGTATAAGCTGTCACCTAAGCTGCCCGAGTTTCCTTTTACTAATGAGCAGGTGAGTCTGGAAAATGGTGGGGAGGATGGCACAGGGGTTTAGAGAAAATACTTCATTCTGCTACTGTCTGCACACGTTTCCATTTTTGTCACGAGGATCTTGGTGTTTGGGTTTAACCCAACCTTGAGTTTCTAACATGCCTCAGTCACCAAGTCGTGAGCTGACACTGAAGTTGGATCAAAAGCTTCCCTTGTACTTGGTTAGGTCCATTGAGTTACATCTGTGTATTTGATGTTGATCATCCAAGGTCACTTTGGCTATGGGGTGACAAGGTGCCACCTTTTTTTTTTTTTTTTAAGAGATTTTATTTATTTATTTGTCACAGAGAGAAATCACAGTAGGCAGAGAGAGAGGGGGAAACAGGTTCCCCACCAAGCAGAGAGCCTGATGTAGGGCTCGATCCCAGACACTGAGATCATGACCTGAGCCGAAGGCAGAGGCTTAACCCACCGAGCCACCTAGGCGACCCCCAAGGTGCCACCTTTTAAGAGAACACTTAAGAGAGGCCTGGATCAGATCTCTCTTAATGTACCCACTTACATAGGTATTCATTTATTTAGAAAACTTTCATTTCTCAATCTCAGTGTGAGCAGAACATTCTAGGAAAATGGCCTTTTCCTTTACTGGTTTATTTATTTTTTCCTTTTTTGGTTTACCTTTCCTTTTTTGGTTTACTTATTTTTCCTTTACTGGTTTACTCTCTGAAGGGAACCATTCTGGGGACACACACTGGCTGTCATGGGTGTGCATGTGGTGGGGGATGCACAGGAGGGGGGCACATTTTCTCAAAGTGGACCTTATGGAATACCCTAGCTTCTCCTGGTAGCGGACAAAGAATTATTGCTGTCCTGCCCCTAGCATGTATCTGACTTGAGCCTAAAATGCAGATGATAAAGGATTTTTTTATAAAGTATCCAGAGAAAAATGTCTGAGGAAACTAAGTTCGCAGCAGAAGAAATGACTAAAAGTCTGTGGGGGTGGGATGGCAAGGTAGCAGTCAGCCACTAGGCCTTCAGGAGGCAGAAATGTGAGGTGGGGGAAGCAGCTTCCACTTGATTACACCTTAGGAGCGGTCATTCCAACTGAGATGCTGAGAACCTGGGTACGCAGAGCAAAAGCTAGAGGACCACGGGTCAGCATTGGCAGGGGAAGTGACCAAGAAGCAGAAGGAAGAGATCTTAACTGACCCGTAATAACCTTCCCGTGCAAACCTGTGACTAACTCATGCCTAATGAATAGAGTTAAATGTTGGGATGTAACCAGCTCAAAACACTCCAGTAGGCTGGTTTTTTTTTTTTGTTTGTTTTTGTTTTGTTTTTTGTTTTTTTTACATTGGAGACATTCCCTAGCCTCTATTCCCAAACTCTTGGAAAAGGGAAGCTGAGTTGCCCCAACCACATTGGCCACAGGAGCTACAGCGTCCGCCCGGCACTGGGCGTGCTCTTCCTCACGGTACCGCTAGATGGCGCGGCCGCGCGCCGTGGAGGCGCCGCGCCGGGATTGTCCCGCTCGCTCAGCACTGCGACGCCACGCCCTGCAAATTATTAGGGACTTTTCGGTAGCAATCCCACTGCTGCCTTTCGAGTTCTGCCGTTAGGACCGAAGTATTGAGGACAGGATTGAAAACCGCATCCACCCTTTTGCAAGGGCGTTCCGTGGCAGGAGAGCTGGGGGTCTCCTGGGAGCAAAGCAAAGCTGCCCGGGGGTGCCCTTGCCAATGGGCCACTGCTCAGAGTGCCCGCGACGTCGTGCGGGGGTCGTGCGGGGGGCCCTGCGTCCGCCCGGCCTTTGTGAAATGGCAGTGAGGGTGGTGGGGATTTGCCTCCGTCTTGCCCTAAATCTCATGTAACCTTACATGAGAAGCGTTTAGGGCGCGGGTCCTGCCAGGCTGCGGAACCATCTGCTTTTTTCTGAGCAGACTTCTCTTTCTGGGGTTGGCACGTGGAGCCAAATCTGAGGGCTGTCGGCAGCCTGGGTGTCCGCCTTCAGAGAGTGGCCTCCGCGGTGTGATGAACATACTTACATTCAGTCGAAACAAAACAAATTGCCAACATTCCACACTGTCTTATCTACTAAAACAGCCCACACCATTTAAAATGATTCACCAAATAGTGACATCTTTATATGTACACCCATAATTAAATAAATTCTTGTGACGGGAGGGGCACAGTTTGCAAAATACAAAAGCATTAAAAATATGTATTTTTATACTGCCCTATACAGAATTGTACATAAATGAATATTTGCCTGACTTTTAAGTATTTACTGCGAGTCTACACCTAGTACAAGTCAGACGTTAGTCGTTGGATTTTGCCCCCAAGCAGAGCCAAGGGGACAGTGAAAGCTGGGCTGAGCTGAGAACCGACCAATCTTGTCGCTGCGCCTGCCCCGCCAGGAGCGGGCAGGGTACCCAAACCTGGAAAAGACCTCGCGCTGCATCTGGGCACCTCCGGCTGGGGAAACTGAGGCGGGCCACCACAGGGACCCCCCCGCCCTGTGCCCGTCGCGGGCCGCAGCAACCTCGGCCGACCCTCGCCGTGCGCGCTCTCCGCGCCTCCAGCCCGCGGGCCGCAGGATTGAGGAAGTGCGTCTGGGCCCGGCCCGGCCCCGGCGCGCGCGGCCGGAGGCGCAGGGGGCGGAGGACAGGGGGACGGCCAGGTCCCGGCCCGCTGTTGTCCGCCCCGCCCGGCCCCGCTTGCCCAGCCCCGCGTCCCAGGCGTCGCGGGTCCTGCCCCGCCGCCGCCGCGGGTCCTGCCCCGCCGCCGCCGCAGCCGCAGGTAAGCACCCGTCCGGCCCGCGCTCCAACCGGGGGCCCTGGCTGCTTCCTGCGGAGGGTCTCGGGGAGCCCCGGGCCCCCACAGTCCAGGCCCGCGCTCCGGGCGGTCGCGTGCTCCGCCGAGGTGGCCCTTGCGGGAGGGGTGGGGGGGGCACCGAGGGCCTGGGCGATCCCCGTCTTGTGGCCCCGCGGCCTCCCCGGCCCGCGGAGTGGGGGAGGGTGCGAGGCCCTGCAGGGCCACCCCGAACTCCCGCGCGGGCCGTGCCCGGGGCCGGAGGAGCAGGGGCAAAAAAACAAGTCAGGAAGAGATACACGGCGTCTCTACAGATGTCTCTACAGACATTTCCTTCAGCCCCGCACGGGCCCAGTGTGAGCGCGCCAGGGTGCGGGTGAGTGTGAGTGCGTGTGCGTGTGCGTGTGTGTATGTGTGTGTGTGTGTGTGTGTGTGAAGGGGAGGGTCTGCCCAGGATCTCTGGCCCCCGGGGCGGGGTCGGGGAGCTGCTTCTGAGGGTCTGCCAAGCGCGCCAGTCCCCCCACCCCGCCCTGCAAAGCCTGGGCTGGGCTTCTGCCCAAGGGACGAGGCTCTGGCAGGTCCCCGTAAAACCCGCCATCTCTGCCACCTTGCCTGGCAGGGGTGCAGAGATGAGTGAGGTCCAGGACAGGGTAAGGAGGGAGCCTGGCAAGGCTGGTGGCCAGAGGGAGATGGTGAGGGAGAATCTAGGGACCTCTGGCCAGCCCACCTTGTCCCTGCATGGTTAGAGGCCAGGAAGTTTTCTCCCCAAACACATTGGCAGGGTTCAGAGAGAGAGAAAACAGGAGCCCGCGGTTAAGTCTTTAGCAAGGCTCTCACTGAATACACTCTTTTTAGAGTTTGCCAGCAAGTCAACATTGTAACTAGGTACCCAGACATTAAACCGTCGACTAGATTGACTAAGTATTTTTGCTTCTGTCTGGGAAGAATAAAAAAATTAAGTTACAAACATACAAACCTCACACCTGACTTGTCCCTAAAGGAGGTTTTGGGGTCAGCCAAACATTCCTGCCCCCAAGCTTCCACATCTCAGGGAATAGGCCCATATTCAACTCAGTTGCTCAGTTGCTGGGAATTTTCCTCTATCCTGTACCCTCATCCCTTGAATTCAGTCTGTTACCAAGTTGAGTTGGGCTTACCTGTGTGTCTGGGTCCAACCCTTCTTTCTCAGTGTCCATCCTAGTCTAAAGTAGGAGCACCCATTTCTGTATGATTACAATCCTCCTCTCCAGTTCTCTATTTGACATCCAGAGTGACTTTTTTTTTTAAATAGGTAAATCAGAATGTGTCAGTCCTCTTCTTAGAACCCTGCAATAATTTCTCCTTGTGACTGGCATGAAATATAGGATACCTCCTTTCCCTCGGTTTGTTTGGAGTCTGGCATCATGAACCACATGATCATTGCCCATGTCACCCCACCACAATCCCCCCGCCCCCGCCACCCTAGCCCATCTCACTCTTCAGCATGTGGTGTCTGCTGTCTTGACCCCTGATTCTTCACAGGGCCAGCCACCCCTCTCTAAACCCAGCCTCTTTTTTACATCCCTTGCTCAGTGTCCATCTGGAGTCCCCACTGGTATTATGGTCTTTCTTCATTTATTAGTTCTCTCCTTTAACTGCCTGGCACTCTCTACTGGACTCCAGGGGTTCGAGACCATTTGTAGGCACCAGCATTGCTCACTGCTGCTCTTCTTTGCCAGAACTAAGAGGTGCCCAGTACATACAGGTGCAGGAATCGAATGGCTAATGGACAGGCATAACTTATTTGTGGTTTCAGACTCATGAAGAACTTCTGTTCCCAAACCTTTGGGTGTTCATCTGGGACTGAGACCTACACATTTCTTGTCTGCAGCTCCTTGGTATTTTGATGTCCATGAATCCATTAAACACATTTTGGAGACAAGCCAGTAACTGATCAGGGGAGGCTAGTAGTGCCAAAGGGATATCGAAGACTTTGGACCAAGCATCTCTACCACCACACTTTTCATTCAAAAAATTACCAGATAATATGAGCATTGCTAACATGCTTCATTTGCAAGCATTTTCCAGCCCTTTGGTACTGGCAATCCTTTCCAAGCCTCCTGAAAAGACAGGTGAGCAGGTCCTGAATCTCCTGCCTTTCTCCTCTGTCAGAAACTTTGTAGCAAGCACTCACTTAACTATACCTTCCCCACAAGCTGTAAAGTTTCCTGAACTCATGGAGTTCCCTTCTCATAGAAAGGGCCCAATAAAAACATTTGCCCAATGAATGTCAGGTTCTCCCCACCTTTTTTTTTTCCATTAAGTATTCAGGTATTGTTCATTAATGCCAGTATAAAGATTTGCAAATGAAAAATTGGTGAGGTTTTAAAAGGTATTAAAATGATCATGACAGAAAACCTCTTGAAGCCCTCTTAAGGATGTGTACACCATAATGAAAACAAGACATGGAAGTTACAACCATGATTTGTTGCACTGGTCTGAACCCAAAGGAAGTAGGAAGAAGCAAAGATCCGTTTGAGGGTGAGGTTAAGCAAAAGTTGAGTTACCTCACTTTAAAACTTCTACCTTAGAGTCTGAGCCGACATACAAATTACAGTTGAAAAACTGCTCCGGTTGTAATATCCTCCATCCTCCATCAGTAAAGAGATTTTCAAAAGGAAACTGAAAATGAAAAGGGGAACAAAATGTGCTGGGCAAGGGTTGGCCTAAAATATTTTAAAGATTTTTTTTTTTTTAACTTAAAAGCGTTCTATGGTAAGACACTTCTGTTTTCAGAAGGAATATCTACTAGCATTTGGATTTTTTTAAGGTGTTGTTGGGTAGATGTGGTAGCTGATTTTAAGAGGTGTTTGAAAGCAGATGGCCACCGTGTTCCTTGGTTTCTGAATGTTACTGTAGGATTCGGAGCTTTTAGTTTAAAACAGAGATGAGATGGTTTGGTGCTTTACTGTGTTCTTGTCTCAAGCTGGTTTTCCTAATCAGGTTTTACAATTTAGAAAGCTTTGATGGTCTCCTACATTTTGTCTAGGTGGATCATTCCTCCTTGGATTATTCAGGCTCCCAGACTCCAAACACAGGTTTTCCTAAATATGGTTTGCTGCAACCTCTCACTCTTTGGTTCAGAAACGTGTGTGGGGGGGTCATAATGGACATGGCTTCTAGGGGAGGAGTTTCCTAGCTCCTTGACCTTCCCCTGCCTATAGGAGTCTAGCCTACCGGGGCCTGATTTCCAGGACCTAAGATGAGAAAGCTCCAGTGCCCTCCTAGCCTTATTCTGTAGTTTGCTCAGTGCCCAGACTGTTCAGGACACCGTCTACAACCTGCTCGGTGGGGAGACCATGTGTCTGCCCTCCAGCATTGATATTGTCTCTGAACTTGGTAATTAGATGGTCTCTCTGTCCTCCCGCTGGTACTGTAGGGGAGGACCACTTCTGTCCCTATTATAGAAAGTGACTGCGGAAAAATTTACCTTATTTGAAATCACACAGCAACCCTGCGAGGTCACCTGGGTGAGAGGGTTCATGTCTATTTTTAACAGATGGGAAAACTGAGACACATGTAAGTAAGTTTCGGCTTGAGGTCATACTGCTGACATGTGACAGAGACGGTCTAAGCCTTTGATGTTCAGATTGTGCTTTATTCCTTTCCATATTGTCTTGGGCATGACTTACATGACCTTGATTTTTTTTTTCTTACTACACTAGATCACTTTCCATTTATGTTATTTGTCTGAAAGGATAGTGGCTAATGACCCCGTGCTTACATATAGATAGACTCTGCAAACACTAATAGAAACATGTGCATTTCACATAGTAATCCCCTCCCATTGTGCAATTTATCCCATGCCAGGCCCTAGCTGGACCTGGGTCTTGCCCTCAAGGCAATTCTGGAGATTTAATCATTATAGCAGGATAGGCACCTGTGTTGGGGGACCCCCCCCCCACCCAGCCCCAGGCTCAGTTGGAGCCCAGCATGAGAGAGCAACACCCTGCTTCAGCAGTTATCACAGCCTGGTTAGTTTGGGGAGATCAAGCTTACTCTAACTCAGGGTTTCTCCAGATAATTGGAACTATTCAGGCTAGATAATTCTCTGTTGTGGGTCGCTGCTCTGTGTATTATAAGATGTTTAGTAATGAACCTGACCTCTACCCGCTAGATGCCTGTAGAACCCCAGACCCCAAGTTGTGACAACCAGAAATGCCTCCAGCCACAGCCAAAGGTACCCAGGCAGGCAAAACATGTGGGGATCCTTTCTGTTATCCCCCAGGGCTCAGTCAGACTTCTCTTCATAACCAGTACCAATGCCTTCTGGACCCCTTCTCTTCGGGATCCTTGCCTACCTGCCTCTTTGCGATTACAATCTCGCCTCTGGGCTTCCGGAAGAGTTTGTTCTGGGCAAAAGGAAGATCTTGTATTGTGTTCAGTTGTGAAGTGCGTCTGCCCTACCCTAACTCAGAGTGTGAACCTCGGAAGGCAGAAGCCTCATTTAGTTTTATTGGTATCACTGTGCTATTGACAACGTTGACGTGTTGTTTGAACAATGACTGAACCCTTTATCAGGGGTGTCTGCAATTGTTGGGGTTTCTTTGGGACTGTTTTGGTTTTTTTTTTTTTTTTTTGGTTTTCGTTTTAGAGAGAGAGAGTACGAGAGAGCATGAGCGGGGAGGGGGGTGTTGGGGAGGAAAAGAGAGAATCTTAGGCAGGCTCCATACCCATTGCAGAGCCCAGTGTGGGGCTCAGTCTCACAACCCTAAGATCATGGCCTGAGCCAAAGTCAAGAGTCGGAGGCTTAACCAACTGAGCCACCCGGGCGCCCCTCGAGATTGTTCTTTAAGTAGCCATGATCCGTGGGGAGCAAGGTTGGGTGGGGGGAGCTCCATCTTTCCCTGCCCCCACCTGACTGGGCGTGGCTAGACAGACAGAATGCAAGGAGGAATGTTGGCAAAGGAGAAGGACACCAAAGGGCGACATAAAATAGTAAATGTATGCAAGGGAGCAGGAAGGGACTTGACAAGAAGAAACTTTCTGATTTTATATTTTTCACCACCAGAACCAGACAGCTTTCTGCTCAGCCATGACTGTGTGTCTGTGCCTTAGTCCATCCTCTGGGCAGCGGTGGCGGCGGTGACCCCGGCCAGGACTGACTTGGAGAGCGGCCACCCAAGAGTCGATGGCTGGCATGTCTCGACGACCGCCCAGCATGTACTGGTGTGTGGGGCCAGAGGGCTCAGCTGTGTGTCCGGAACGTGCCATGGAGACCCGTAATGGTAAGAGCCAGGCCAGCCTGGCGCGGGGTATCACCTGCCGTTGGCGTGCTGTGGGGAGTCCAGAGCAAAGGGTTTTCGACCAAAGGTTAAAAAGGCCAATGACTCGGCGAAAGTCTCATCATAAAGTATATCTTAGGGTTCTCACTTAAATTCTGAACATTGAAGGGCTGGGGGACAAAATTTATTATGGCGCCAAAGACCTTAAGAATCAGGCCATTACATCATGTTGGTTAAAAAGTTTTTTTAATGGGGATTTGGTTTTGTTTTCTCATGATAAAAGTAATGCATGTTTATTAAAGAAAAATTGAAAAAAAAAAGGAAAAAAAATAAAGAGAAGTAGGGGGAAAAAACTCGCTAGGAGTCCCACTGCCCTAAATCCAAGAACTGCTAATAGCTTGGTACGTTCTTGTCCAGTCCTGTTCTCTGGGTGTCAGGGATTTTGTTTTAATTTTATAGTGTATACAGTTTAGTATCCTACTTTTTTCTCCTAACTTTGCCAGTCACCTAGCTCATGTGATCTAGTAAAACACCATTTCATGTGGGAACACTGTATAAAGTGATCGACTTAGTCCTTACTCCCCTGTCGGATGTGTGGGAATATTCAGGTTGCTTCTGTTTACTGACTCTTACCAAAACCATCCCACTACCATCTTTTTCTACATGGTTTGAGACCATTTCCATAAAATACAGGTATAGAAGTGTGATTATTAGGTTTGAACACTTTTAAGCCTCTTTCTGTGGATTGCCAGAGTTCTGCTAGAGTTGTAACACTTTTAACACCATTCACCCAAGTTGAGAGGATGGCATTGACACTGTTTTTTGTTTTTTGTTTTTTAAGATTTTATTTATTTATTTGAGAGAGAATGAATGAGAGAGAGCATGAGAGAGGAGAAGATCAGAGGGAGAAGCAGACTCCCCAAGGAGCTGGGAGCCCGATGTGGGACTCGATCCTGGAAGTCCGGGATCATGACCTGAGCCGAAGGCAGCCACTCAACCGACTGAGCCACCCAGGCGCCCATGTTTTTTGTTTTTTTCTAAGATTTTATTTATTTGACAGAGAGAGAGAGATCACAAGTAGGCAGAGAGGCAGACAGAGGGAGGGGGAAGCAGGCTCCCTCCTGAGCAGAGAGCCCAATGCGGGGCTCGATCCCAGGACCCTGAGATCATGACCTGAGCCTAAGGCAGAGGCTTAACCCCCTGAGTCACCCAGGTGCCTCTGGCATTGACACTGTTAATGAAAAGTATTTGGCCCTGGGTGCATAGCAGGCACTGGATTTGGTGCTTTAGGAAATCGTCTCATTTGATCCTCACAACGACCTAGAAAATGGTCATTTATCCCCATTTTATAGCCGAGGAACTTGAGAGTAAAAGATGCATAGACACTTGGTGGAGGTCAACAATTTGGAAGTGGCAGAACTGCTATTGGAACCCTGTCTTCACTATTGAATTCTCTAGGCCACCGTGTGGAGTTTGAGACGGCCCGTATGTTGGGTTTGAGAGGGCCATGAAGTTAGGGGTGCAGCATCGGGCCTGGCTGGGCAAACACTTTGTTCATTAACTTGAGTGTCTCTCTCCATTGAAAATGCCCCAAAGCTAACTAGGGCGATGTTTCTGGAAGATTGCTTTGCACATAAATCAGATTATGAAAGGGGAGAAGAATTGGTTTCTCAACATCGCCGAGCACTAAATGTTCTCAGAATCTTCTACTCGCATCTTTTGAACAGTTGTTTCTGTCTTAAAAGACTATGTCTTATTTCCATTACTCGTTAGAAAGGCCTCCCCTTGTTAGCATGAGATCAAGGTGACCTGCAGTAGAACATGATATTGGGTTTTTGAGTAGAACCTCTACTTTCCAGTACTTTCCAGTTCCGTTATCCCATCTGTCTCTCCTCTTAGCAATCCTGAGGAATGAGGATGGGGCGGTGACACTGGGGCTTACTGGGTGGGTGACAGTGTCAGCGGAAAAGCCCCAGAGGGGATCTGCCCTGTCCCCTTCCTGGTCAGGAGTTGGTGATCTAATGATCTAAATGAGTAGGTCTTTACCCTGCCAGAAACACTGGGGGTGTCTACACCACCAACGCCCAGGCACCCCCTAGACTCATTTGAGCAACATTTTTGGGGAAGAGCAAGTATGGGCGTTTAAAAAAAATTTTCCACCCCCTTTCCATGATTCTAATGTGCAGAGAATCAACTGGTCTACAGTGTTTGGGTCTCTTAGAACAGAACTTCTCAAACTGCAGTATATACTCGAGTCCCCTGGGAACCTTGGTGAAATGCAGATTCTTACTGTGTCAGTCCGAGGACACCGAGATTCTGTGTTTCTAATAGATGCTCAGGCCATGCTGACCTTCTGTTCTACCCATAGAGTTGCAAGACTGACGTGATGGTTTTCTGAGGGGCCCAGGGATCCTCACTGAGTCTTACAGATCCTTGGGACCTGGGTCAAGGGACACCGAACAGACCTGAAACCAGCCCCACCTTCCAGGCCTGAGATAGGACAGATAACCAGAAAATGTTCAGATGCACTGGGAGGCCGAGCGTTGAGACGCCGCAGCCCCCATTTTTTTTTTTTTTTCTTTCCTTTTGAGCTCTGTCTGGACTTTCCCCTACTCCTACAGTAGGTTCCCCACCAGGCTGGAGGAAGCAGCTCAGAAATGTCTTTTCTGCTACAGGGCCTCTTCCCCAGGGGAATCTCAGGACCCCCCACTACCTTGTTCTGAGAGAACCACGGAACACGCACAAGGGGACAGGAGCCTAGGGGAGTCATGCAGCCCCCACTGGGTGCTGTTCTAGATGCTGGGGTTGGAGGGAGGAGGACCCACATGGGAGGTGATGTCTTGAGAATCCCGGATTGCTGAGGGAAGTGTTTATGTGCAGACAAAACACCTAAACCACAGAGTTGAAGAAGGTAAAAGACAAGTGGCCTGAAATGCACTGGAAAGTTCTGTCCTGTGGCTCAGCTTTATGGAAATTATATTCTCTATTACGGAATTATAAGAGTAACTGAATTCTCATGAGGACTGCATGGAGTGCAAAGGTGCCCATATTCTGAGAGGGGAGAGCGGCCATCAGAGCTGAGGGAGGGGACGAAACCTTTCAGCACTCCCATCCTGCTGGCCATGGACTGTTTACTTGGTGGCCAGACATCAGCCCCACCCCTCCTTCCCCAGCACCTCCCACCCCCTCCCCCCACAGCAGTGGAAGAATGAGGGCAGAGGAGGACCCTCCCCTGTGCTTCCTGCCTGTCTCTTCCTCAGAACAGTATCCCTGCGGGGACCTCCGTAGGACCTCACAGGCATTGAGAAGGTTTAGTCTGTTACCTGTGACTCTGGGTTAAGGAGCTGCTACTAAGCGCATTAGCTAGAGTGATGAGCATTAATGCTAATGACGTCCGTCCCCCACCCCCACCTGCCACCCCCAGGGGCAGAGACTCCTAGTGTAGAAAGCAGAAACACACCATTTCTCTTAAGGCCATGGCCCTGAATGGTGCCCTGTTGCCCTTGGCTAAAGCAAGTCACGTGGGGGAGCCCAAATGAAGAGCTCCAGCCATCCACCAGGAGGCCGTGGCCAGGCTGTGGATGCAGACGGAGGTGCCTGTCATTCCGTCTACCGCGACAGGAGTTGGTGGGCTTCAATTCTTTGAAAAGTACGATGTGTTGTACTTATATATTGTTATTTATCTGGTTAAGCAGCCTGAGGAATTCCTGCCTGGAGCCTGTGTACCAGTGGACCATGGAGTTGCCCTGATGGGCCGTCCTGAGGGGTGGGGTTGGTGAATCCCCCCTGCTGGCCTTCCCCTTCACCCCAAAGCTCTGCAGACCCAATTTTAAAAACGCCCCATGTTTGGATTTTATTTTCACAAAACACAAATCTGCACACCAAGACCACAGCCCGGGGGCAGGGCACATTCCCAGGGTAACACAGTCACTTGGAGATCAGAGCCACTGCTCTTGGCTCATGAGTAGGGTTTATGTTTTCTGCACTGAGCATGTGTTCCCTTTCCGTGTTGTTTTGTTTTGCATTACATTTGCAGCTGGAAGAATAACACTGCCATTTATTTTTAAAAGTGTTGACTCTTTAAATACCGATGTTTTGTGGCACACCTAACTGGCACAGCTCAGTGCTCACTTTGAAGGCCAACGTTGCTCCAACTGGCCTCTTTCCTCCTCGTTTCTTTCTGAAACCAATGGAGGAATATTTGTACCCACCGTCCAGGGCTGTGTCCCCAGCAGAAGAGCCAGATTTGTTCTGCTCACTTTCTCCCCAGACCTCCTGGGATCCCAGGGAGCCCTGCTTCCCCTCCCTCCCCTCCGCACCTCCCCCATCCACCCACCTCCCACATCCCCCCAGGGAAGCTTATCACACAGCCCCCTCCCAGAGCCAAGGAAGGAAAATTGGCCAGGAAGCAAACTGATAAGACTCAAATTATAGTCCATGTAGGAGCAGCTTTCTCTTTTTTAGAAGCTCTCTCTTTTTAAAAAATGCTTGGAAGACGTCATGCTTTGGAAACGATGAAGTTATTATTAGGCTTCCAAACATAGTTTAGAAAAAGATCCAACCATTAATGAAAATCAGGGAAGAACTGGTGTTTTACTTTGGGGTTTTGGGTGATGGCATTTTGTTTGCATACCGATGTATCCTAGGTGTGTTTCTCGCGCCCCTACCTGTTCTGACCCTATAAGTCACCTTGTTCCTGCTTAGAATGGCCAGCCCTTCCAAAGCCCAAGAAGGTGCGAGCACTTCTCCAGTTGCCGGGTGGGGCCAGGGGTCTGGGTGTGCCTGTCCCGTGTTTGTGGGGCACCAGTGTGTCCCAGGAAGGCACGTTGCAACCTTATTGGCACCGTCAGCAGTCAACTGGCTTGTGGTGCAAGAGGAACGTTTAGAAAGCCTGGAGGAGCAGAGAGCAGGAGTTGATAGAACGAGGGTCAGTGAGATAGGGGGCCGGGGCTGTGAGGCAGTCTGTGTGAACAAACACACCCTGACACATTTTCAGTGCCTGA